TTAAGGCATAGATGGTAAAGGTTTCCCAAAAGTGCTCAAGCAGGGATACCAAAACATTGTATGTGCACATATGATTGCTATAAAGGTTATAAATTATCCATAAAAAGCAAAGAGAAAGGATGGAACTGACATTCTAAGACTTATCTAGGTAACTGCTTCTCTCTAGTGGAGCTTTTGTCATTAAACAGATTGTGGGGACTTCTCTTATTTTGGCTAGAATGTACTTTTATCAGGCCAGTCACTCTACTCAAAAATTAGATATACTTACAGATACAGAAACACAGATGAGGATATCTGCTTAAACAAGAGAGTCACCAAGGCAGTAAGAAATTGAAGGGTCAAGACCATGTCCAAAAGCGAAGTGCAAAGGTGAGAATGACATTTAGCACCTGTTTTCCCCTTGAGGCAACTGCCAATTCATAAGCAGTAGCCTAAGGCTAAGAAGCTAAATGGTGGGAAATAATGAGCTGAAAACAGAGGCCCGGAGGTTGAAAAGGTGAGCAGAACTTTAGGCTGTCTTACATGTCTGGGAATACAAAAACAAGTTCAGGGTCAATCAAGGTGAAAAGTAAATATACCAACCCTCAAAAGGACTAAAGCTCAGCTGTTTAATTAGCTAACTGCCACACTGATCTGCTCTTATCCAAACTGTTTGCCAGAAGCAAAAAGTAAACTGTCTATGAAAAAAAGATAGCATCAAGAGTTAATCAATAATCAACTCAATAATTTTTCATTCACACAAAAATTACTGACCATACTAAAAGATAAGACCAAATGACTGAAAATAGAGAGAAAAGTGGAAACTGTATTAAGAATTATCAAGCATGGGCTTGAAATTACTTCTAAGTAACTGTAATTAATATGCTCTAGAAAAGATACAACATACAAAATACTCTGCTGATGAATTTCAGCAGAGGGTCCAAATCAGTAAAAATAATTATATGGAACTTGTAGAAATTGAAAATAATAGAACTGAAATTAAGAATGCAGTAAATGAGTTAAATGACAGCTTAGACATAGCTGAAGAGAAGTTCAGTGAATTACAAAATAGGTCAATAAAAATCCAGAATGAGCATGAAGAGAAAAAACAAATAAAACAACAAAACAGAAAAGAATCTAACACACGTATGGCTAATGGTGAAAAGCCCTAACTGAGTAGGCGAGGAAAGAGAGAATTGGGGCAAAAGTGATATAAGAAGAGATTATGCCTGAGAATTTTCCAAAAATAATGAAAGACACCAAATCACAGATTTCCCTAGAGACATCATAGTAAAACTGTTCAAAACCCAAAACAAAGAGAAAATAAAAGCAGCTGGGGGTAGAGTGGGGTAGGGTACACATTTTCTTAAAAGGAAGAAGACTCAGAGATGACTTTGTAACAGAAACAATAGAACTCCGAAAGACAAAGGAGTAATACTTCCAAGGTGATGAAAGAATTACCAGATGCAAAATGGAATGAAGAAATATACAAAGGGTAAATGTGAAGAAAAATATAAATGAATATATAGATTCATAAAACAACAATAATGTCCTGTGGCATTTAAACAATAGTATTAAAAAAAAAGTACTGGGGCAGGCATCGTGGTTCATGCCTGTAATCCCAGAACTTTCGGAGGCCAAGGCAGGAGGATCACTTGAGGTCAGGAGTTCGAGACCAGCCTGGCCAACATGGCAAAACCCTGTCTCTACTAAAAATACAAAAATTAGCTGGACGTGGTAGCACACACCTGTAATCCCAGCTACTTGGGAGGTTGAGGCAAGAGAATCACTTGAACCTAGGAAGTGGAGGTTGCAGTGAGCCGAGTTCATCCCACTGCACTCCAGCCTAGGTGACAGAGTGAGACTTCATCACAAAATATGATAATAATAATAATGATAATGATAGTACTGAAGTTATTCTAAGGTCCTTGAATTTTTTGGTTTTGAGACTGTCTCCCACTGTCACCCAGGCTGGAGTGCAGTGGCATGATCTCATCTCACTGCAGCCTTGACCTCCCAGACTCAAGCAATCCTCCCATCTCAGTCTCCCAAGTAATTGGGACTACTGGTGCACACCACCATGCCTGGCTAATTTTTGTATTTTCTTTTGTAGAGATGGGGTTTCACCACATTGCCCAACCTGGTCTTGAACTCGAGCTCAAGTGATCCTCCTGCCTTGATCTCCCAAAGGGCTGGGATTAAGGATGTGTGCTTTGAATTTTCCAGGAAGTGACAAAAAGAACTTATAATATGAGATGTTGATAAGTCAGGTATTAATGTTGGAATCTCTGGGATAATCTTAAATAATAAGTTAATATATTTTATGATGTAAAAGAAACTAATAGGAGGGGAAAATAGAAATAAAAAAGAAATAGAATACAAAACAGATGGAAAAATTAGAAAACTAATTATAAACTATCTTAGTAATTACATTATATAAATGAACTAAATGTTACAGTTAAGATGAAAAGTTATCACACTGGATAGAAATGATTGTACATTTTAAAGACATACTTTAGAAAATTGTAGTCTTCGATGGAACAGAACAGAGACCTCAGAAATAACACCACACATCTATAACCATCTGATCTTTGACAAACAGGACAAAAACAAGCAATGGGGAAAGGATTCCCTATTTAATAAATGGTGCTGGAAGAACTGGCCAGCCATATGCAGAAAACTGAAACTGAATCCCTTCCTTATACAAAAATTAACTCAAGATCGATTAAAGATTTAAATGTAAAACCCAAAACCATAAAAACGCTGGAAGAAAAGCTAGGCAATACCATTCAGGACATAGGCATGCACAAAGACTTCATGACGAAAACACCAAAAGCAACAGCAACAAAAGCCAAAATTGACAAATGGGATCTAATTAAATCAAAGAGCTTCTGCACACAAAAGATACTGTCATCAGAGTTAACGAGCAACCTACAGAATGGGAGAAAATTTTTGCAAGTTACCTATCTGACAAAGGTCTGATATCCAGAATCTACAAGAAATTTAAATTTACAAGAAAAAACAATTCCATCAAAAAGTGGGCAAAGGATATGAACAGACACTTCTCAAAAGAAGACATTTATGTGGCCAATAAACATTTGAAAAAAAAGCTCAACATCACTGATCATTAGAGAAATGCAAATCAAAACCATAATGAGATACCATCTCATGCCAATCAGATAGCGATTATTAAAAAGTCAAGAAACAATAGAAGATAGGAAGGCTATGGAGAAATAGGAATGCCTTTACACTGTTGGTGGGAATGTAAATTAGCTCAACCACTGTGGAAAACAGTGTGGTGATTCCTCAAGGATGTAGAACCAGAAACACCATTTGACCAAGCAATCCCATTACTGGGTACATACCCAAAGGATAATAAATCATTCTACTATAAAGACACATGCACACATATGTTTACTGCAGCACTATTTATAATAGCAAAGACTTGGAACCAACCCAAATGCCCATCAATGATAGACTGGATAAAGAAAATGTGGCACATATACACCATGGAATACAATGCAGCCATAAAAAAGAATGAGTTCGTGTCCTTTGCAGGGACATGGATGAAGCTGGAAGCCACCATTCTCAGCAAACTAACACAGGAACAGAAAACTAAACACCGCATGTTCTCACTTATAAGTGGGAGTTGAACAATGAGAAGACATGGACACAGGGAGGGGAACATCACACACTGGGGCCTGTTGTGGGCAGGGGGCAAGGGGAGGGACAGCATTAGGAAAAATACCTAATGCATGTGGGGCTTAAAACCGAGATGATGTGTAGACAGGTGCAGCAAACCACCATGGCACATGTATGCCTATGTAACGAACCTGCATGTTCTGCACATGTATCCCAGAACTTAAAGTAAAATTAAAAAAAAAAAAAATAATGCCAGGTAAATTAGGCACATTTTGAAATTTAAAACTTTTAACAAAATATAATGGAATTTTTTAAACCTCAGTTAAGTAACAAATTTTTAAAACCTAACATAAAAAAGGCTCAGTCATAAAAGTAAAAAAAAAGATCTGATTAAATTTAACTGAAAAATTCTGTGATATTAAAGATAGTCACAGAAAATGTTAAAGACAAGCCACATATTAGAAGTCCTATGAGATAAAGCATTATGATCAGTAAGAATAGAAGTAACCTAGCAGAAAAATAGGCATAGATTATGGACGAAAATCTGTCAAATAATGACCAATAAATATATGAAATGAAACTAGGCTTCTTAAGGAAATATAAGTTAAAACAAAGAGCTACTACCTCATAGCTTTCAGACTGCAGAACTTAAAAATTCTGATAAGACTAAGTGTTGGTGACAAGATAGGAAAACCAGAATTCTCTTAAACTGCAGTTGGGAAAGCAAATTTGCATATCACTTTAGAAAGCAATTTGATAACATCTAAAGTGACAAAATATGCACATCCTACTACCTGAAATTCCATATTTATTTATTTATTTTATATATATATATATATATATTTTTTTTTTTTTTTCAGACTGAGTCTTGCTCTGTTGCCCAAGCTAGAGTGCAGTAGCACGATCTGGGCTCACTGCAACCTCCGCTTCCCAGGTTCAAGCAATTCTCCTGCCTCAGCCTCCCGAAGTAGCTGGGATTACAGGTGCGCACCACCATGCCTGGCTAATTTTTTTTTTACCTTTAGTAGAGACGGGGTTTCACCATGTTGGCCAGGCTGGTCTCGAACTCCTGACCTCAGGTGATCCTCCCACCTCGGCTTCCCAAAGTGCTGGGATTACAGGTGTGAGCCACTGCGCTGGGCTAAAATTCCATTTTTAGACATATGTCCAGAATATCTAGCACATCTGCATGAGGTGACATGATCAAGAATGTACATTTGCAGCACTGTTCAAAATGGCAAAAAAAGTAACAATTTAAACAACCATTAGTAAGGGAATTGGTAAGTAAACTGACATGACACTAAACAGCATATTATGTTAAGTGGAAAATCAGGTTACAAAAGATTACATACAGTAAAACATCATTAACATAATTTTTGTTAACTATTATATATTGTTTTTGGATAAAAACACATGGTAAAGTATAAAATCTTAAATAGGAAGGAGTCACACCAACTTCAGAATAGTAGGTTAGCTCTAGGGAGAGAAGGAGGAGAATGGCGCCAGGGAGAAGTACAAAAGAGTAACATTTTATTTATTTAAAAATCAGAAGCAAATATGGCAAAATAGTATGTGAAGGGTACAAGGGCATTTATATTATTATTTTTCTGTATATTTGAAATAGTTGTAATTAAAAAGAATTTTAATGGGCACATATGGTATAACAATCAAATAATAACATTAATTACTTGCACCAGAAAAATGTATCAAATAACAACATATTATTTTAGCCACAGAAACTTATGTACATACATTAGAGCATGTGATAAAAGAGTCAAAAATAAATTTTAAAATTTGCAATTTACTTTGAGGTTTTAAATTAATAATTTTGCTAATCTCATGCAATTTTAAAATGTCCTTAAGCTAAAATTTTAAGGGCTGCTATCCTTTTTGTTAGAGTTGTCAACGCTGTACAGATAAAACTTTAATGTGGTATCCTGAATTTCAGTCTTATTTTGTAAAGCTTCTTCTTTAATATATAAACAGTTAACAAGCTTTACAATTATACTTACAAGTCTTAAAGAAACGTATTACGAGTCCTAAGTATGAAGAACAGTTATTTAATTATAACTACTTAATTATAGTGTTTTACCAAGAATCTGATGCCCTAATACTAACGTGGAAAAACAATGCTCCATTATTCCATTTTCTTTTCTGCTTGGGTTTGGGCCAGAAGCCAAGATGTACCAATACTGGAAAGGTTTTAAACAGTCTTATTACAAAACCATTTTTAAAGGAAAAGTAGTAACTTTCACAGCGGAGTAACACAATCCTTTGGGATTACTATGTCAGAGAGACATAGAAAGATAGAGAATATTTTAAGAAAAGGGTTAACGAGGTAGTAAAATTTTGCTATCTATACTTCACTTACTGACCCTCAGAGTCTCAAGGCTAGAAAACAATAAATATTTTACAGAAAAATGTAGGAAGCAAACAAAACTGGGCAGGACACTGCATCTATAAATATAATTTGAGAGATCTATAATCCACACGTAGTACTTCACTCTCAACTATAATCCTCTGACCACATTCATACTATTTCAATAGTCATTTTACCCAGTAGATGGAAAGCAGTAATTTTATTTATCATGGATTGCTTTTTGCCAATTAACATGTGCAACAGAGATGATCAGCTGGTCTCTCAAGTAACCTAGATATTAGATATGCTATTTCCACGTAATGGAAGACTGCAATAAAATTGTTCCAAGTTCTAAACTTCCATACTTTTATATTGTGAGCACAATTTTTAAGAGTGGCAAAAGGCAGGTTTTCACTTACTCCACTTCAGCCTATTATACGGAATTTTACTCAGTGCTAAAATCCTTAACTTTCCATTTCTGAAGGCTGAAAAACATTTGCTCCCCCAAGTCTCTTATTTAGTATAACTTTGGCTGGTAAGAATAGCTAAGTTTGCTTCCAAAATTGAAAGTCTCCTACAACATTTTTAAATGTTTCTTTCTCCACTGATCTTTAAGTTTCAGTAATACTCATTTATTTCTTCCCTCTCAACAGAAAGATAACTACCACTCTGCTTCATGAATGAAATAATCAAATTACTATTTCAAATTCTCACCCTCTAGATACTCGCTCAAACGGAGTAATAAATTCACTGACATGTTTACAATTCAAATTTCACTAATATGTAGAAATAATTCTTCCACAAGCAAAAAGGTCAGCATCAAGAATTTAATTTTCTGAGTTTCATAACCCTTGATAAATGGAGGCACCTTGAAGTTCAGTTGAAACTCTTTTATATAGGATTTCAGAGCATGCTTCCAAATATCTTAAGACAAGCCATATTAATAGCTTAGTGTCATTTTTATCATTAAAATAATCTACAAATACCAGAATACTACTAATTTATTGTCATGACTAATAAATAAGACTTAAAATATTTATAGATGTAAATCAGCTCTCTCCGTTCATTTTGCTTCACTTGGACTATTCTAAAATACAGATCGACAAATGGAACGGGTTTATCAATAATATAGTTGTACAATCTTTTCACAAATTCCAATTCTGTAATTTAGGGTTTTTCATATTTATTTTTAAATATACAAAGAGATTAAACCATTAATAGAAATATTTTCTCTCAAATATGTAATATTCTTTTGTAAAAGGAAGTTTCCAAACATTTACAAAGCAATCTAAAGTTAAGTAAACCTGATTTTAGGATTATTACATTAACCAAAATAATTTTCCAGAGAAGGTCCTATTTAAAAGTAATGCTCACTGGCTTCCCCACATCCACATTTTAAGATGCATCCAAATCCAATGCCTTTGCTTGATGTACTTCAGGGATCCCTTCCAGTGAAGAAAACCTCAGAAAAACGTCTCACGACACAGTGGACAAGTGGATTTGTTGCTAGATGTAAACCATTTGTACTGAAAAAGAAAAGGTTTTAAATATCAAAAGCTTTTTAAAGCTCTCCTCTTACATATATCATAAAGTACATATACATCTAAAGTAACCTTCAAATGATAAAGTGAAAAGGGAAGAATACTAAAATATTTGCTCTTTCTGTATCTCCAAAATCAACACAAATGAGTATACTTCCGATGGCTACACTAAGTTCTTTCTACTTAGGCTCATGCACACAACCACTAAGATAGGAGAAATCTCCTGTGAAACAAAGGAGCAAATGGTGACTTCTTTTTCAGTATGTTTAAAAAGAGCATAGGGCTCCGATGCCAGATGGCTTCCAGCACCGACTCCTGTAGTCTCCTTCATGGTCTAGATCTCAGAAGACCTTCTACTTCTTGAGCGGTAAAAGGTCACTGGAAACACCCATTTATTAGAGGGCCTTGATTCTACCAGTCTTGGTAAACTGCTAATTATCTTTCGCAGATTTTTTAAAAATCACTTTTTAATATATCTCCCATTAGCTACATTTAAAGTTTAACATACATTTTCTCTTCCAAAGGTAAACATTGTGTGTGTGTGTGTGTGTGCGCGCGCGCGCATGTGTTTCTGTGCATAAAATACATAAAATATAAGTAAGTTAATTTCTCTTTAGACTTACCAAGCAAGCTGAATGAAATTTTTTCTTGCATGTTCTACAGGCTTTTTTGGGAAGGGAATAGTTGAAACCATGAATGACTGAGAAACAGATCATGCAATCTTCAACACCCTCAAAACGTTTGTCTACATTATTTTTCCATAAAGCTAAGCCTTCCATAATACTTCCATTCTGTTAACAAGAAGAAAAGTAAGTCACAACACACTGATGACCACCAATTTTATTTTTATTCAATTTCACAAATTTTAAAGTTGAATTACAATTCTGAAAGAAGACAGTCTGCTTGGCTATGTTCATATCTCCTAACTTTTATGAATGTTGGTTTTTAAAATAACCTCCCAAGTTTTCAGAACCAGATGTAATTTTTCTCCATTAAAGTCAGACTTTAAAGGCTTCTGGACCAATACTTAAAGTGTTAATAGTCCAAGCTTATTGCTTGATAAAACTCTCTTAATAATTAAATCATTTAGGTTAGTTCTAATGTTTAACTGAAAATGAGGAAATTATCTCAAATTATTTGCTCCAGCTCTACAATATTGGTAAGCATATTTGTTTAAAATAGTTTTTCTTGGCCGGGCACTGTAGCTCACGCCTATAATCCCAGCACTTCGGGAAGCCAAGGTGGGTAGATCACTTGAGGTCAGGAGTTTGTTGACCACCATAGCCAACATGGTGAAACTCCATCTCTACTAAAAATACAAAAAATTAGCCAGGTGTGGTGGTGGGTGCCTGTAATCCCAGTTATTCTGAAAGCTAAGGCAGCAGAATCGCTTGAACCGGGAGGCAGAGGTTGCAGTGAGCCGAGATTGTGCCATTGCACTTCAGCCTGGGCAACAAGAGCAAAACTCCGTCTTGGGAAAAAAAAAAGTTTTTCCTTACTGTAGAATGCCTAAGATACACAGTGTGCAAACAGAACTGAAGATTTAAAATGTGGTTAGAGGTCAAAGGTCTTTGAGAGTACTGGACTTCTTTAACCAAAGAGGAGTTGAAATGTAAGAATAAAAGTGAAAGTAGCTCAGAAGGCATTCATCCATCCAGCATCTTTCAAAAGATCCTCTCTGAAACACTTTCCTTAATACCATGTACTGTTCCACATCTTCTACAATGTTAATGAATAAAGTCAATCCCTCGCAAACACCAGAAAATAAATTACAGAACCTTAAAAATTAAAACAGAAAGGCAGGTTTAATCCATTTAGGCATATATCTGTATTTATCCAAGGAAGTTTAATATCTATTTTTACCTTAAGCAGAAAAGATGTATTTTATGTTTAAATGCCCTTTTAAATAGATCATCTTTTTCAAGTTTGTAAAGCCAAATGTATAAACAGAAACTTACCTGATGGGTGAGGTAAGTGCTTAACTGCAGCATCCAGTTCCGCCACTGCTGAACAGCCACTCCTACTCTTTTGCCACTTTCTACTGTTATTGAACCCAGTGGATAATTTGAAGGCAGCTGTATTATAAGTTCAATAACTATGTCCTCAATAGTATAAGTAGCCATTACCTCTCGAGTAGTAGCTCGAGCTTTAACCTGCAATACAACAAAGGATATTTTGTTTGCCAGATTCCTTTCTTTCATCCAGAAAACATTTTGAAAGGGTGACTATGAAAATCTAAAGGCTTCATTCAAGGACAATGCAAGTAAACACATTCACTTATGTAACATAAAATAATTAAAAATAGGTTTAGGCTGGGCACACTGACTCACACCTGTAATCTCAGCTCTTTGGGAGGCCAAGGTGGGCGGATCACGAGGTCAGGAGATCGAGACCATCCTGGCTAATACGGTGAAACCCCATCTTGACTAAAAATACAAAAAATTAGCCGGGTGAGGTGGCGGGTGCCTGTAGTCCTAGCTACTCGGGAGGCTGAGGCAGGAGAATGGCGTGAACCTGGAGGCAGAGCTTGCAGTGAGCCGAGATTGTGCAACTGCACTCCAGCCTGGGTGACAGAGCAAGACTCCATCTCAAAAAAATAAAAATTAAAAAAAAGAGAAAGAAATAGGTTTAAATACCTGCCTGGTATATTTTTACAGTGATTTTGTGATATTCAAAGTTTGTTTTAAAAGACATTAATTGCTCATAAAAAAAGGTTTTATTATGTTAGGCTTGTCACATAATAGTTCAATAAACCTTGAATAGGTAAGTGACAGAATGGGTTATTATCCCTTCTCTTCCATACCGAGTATCAAATATCACTTCTACGTCTAATAAGTCTTCCTCTACCATGTTATCCTCCTGAGCTTTGGAGCCAACCATCAACTGCCAGAACATTTATAGTTATTTGTTTGGTTTTCAAACCCACATTGCAAACTCAACATCAAATGCACACATTATCATCCTTTACAAACTTCATCTTCTGAATTTCCTACTTCCAGGCTAAAAAATCATCAGAGCACCATTTTAAATTTCTGCTTCTACCTCATCCTAGATATTAACTAAATCACTAGCACATCTCTCACATCCCTACTCTTTTATATTCCCACTGATACTGCCTCACCCATGCCCTAGTCCTTTTCTCATAATGTCTACCCCAATAGTCTCCCCTAACCATTCATTTGAATCCAAACTGTTTGCCAATAGATCATGCTATAGACTATGGTCAGAGCAATTTCAAAGATCATAACTCTGACCATGCTACTGCCTGAATGAAAAATGTTCAGTGGCTGAATTGTACCACTTTGGATTGTTATTTGAGGCCCTTCCCAATATACCTCTAATTCACTGTTGAGTCGTCTATTCACCTTTGGGACTCCTACTCATTATTTGGGTTGCAGTACTGCGTTATTTATCATTTCTTGGGCAACAACTGAAATGACATTCTCACTTTTGTGCTTTTTGCTTTTGCGATAGTATTTTTTCTCTCTCTTTTTTTTTTTTTTGAGACAGAGTTTCACTCTTGTTGCCCAGGCTGGAGTGCAATGGCGTGATCTCAGCTTACCGCAACCTCCGCCTCCCAGGTTCAAGCGATTCTCCTACCTCAGCCTCCCGAGTAGCTGGGATTACAGGCATGTGCCACCACACCCGGCTAATTTTGTATTTTTAGTAGAGACGGGGTTTCTCCATGTTGGTCAGGCTGGTCTCGAGCTCCCGACCTCAGGTGATCAGCCCGCCTCGGCCTCCCAAGTGTTGGGATTACAGGTATGAACCACTGCACCTGGCCTATTTTCTCTATAGTAAATGCCTTTCCCTTCATTTTCCCCATAACAAAATCCTGCCAACCTCCAAGTGATTTTCTTCCATAAAATCTCACTTAATCCCCTCAGCCAGATGAATCTTTCCCACTCAGATCATGAGGAACTCTTTCTCTCAACATGCTACTTTCCAATGCAAAAATCATTATCAGTATCGCTCTTTTCCCTTTATTAGACTGTATGTTATTACAGGACAAGAGTCTAGTCCTACTAAACTGTTCATATCCTCGGTGACTGGGACACAATGCTTGGCATCTGTAAGTATTCCAATATAGATTATGAATGAACTAATGAATGCTCAAAAACTATTTGCTGGGTGAAATGGTTTGGATCTATATCCCCGCCTGAATCTCATGCTGAATTGTAATCCCAAATGTTGGAAGTGGGGCCTAGTGGGAAGTGACTGGATCATGGGGGCGGATTTCCCATGGGTGCTAGTCTCATGATAGTGAGTTCTCATGAGATCTGGTTGTTTAAAAGTGTGTGACACCTCCCCGCCTCTCTCCCTCCTGCTCTGGCCATGTGAGGTGCTGACTCCCATTTGCCTTCCGCCACGATTGTAAGTTTCTGAGTAGCTGGGATTACTGGCGCCCGCCACCACGCATGGCTAATTTTTGTATTTTTTTAGTAGAGATGGGGTTTTACCATGTTGCCCAGGCTGGTTTCAAATTCCTGACCTCAAGTGATCCACCCACCTCGGCTTCCCAAAGTCCTGGGATTACAGGCATGAGCCACTGCACCCGGCCTAAACCTCTTTTCTTTATAAATTACCCAGTCTCAGGCATTTATAGAAATGTGAGAATAGACCAATACAATGTGTGAATGAAAATTATACCACTGTTTCAATCCATACATGAAGTAATATTGAGATTTGACACACAAATTAGAAAACAAAATAGGCTGGTCTTGAACTCCTGGGCTCAAGTGATCCTCCCACCTTGGCATCCCAAAGCGTTGGGATTACAGGCATGAGCCACAACTCGTGGCCACCAGTTTCTATAAATTCTGAGCCAAGAGCTACGGTCTGTTTTGATATTAACAATGACAGACATACCCAATATTAAAACAACTTTTCTAGAGAAAGTCAAGACAATACTAACCGTCATGCCATTAAATAGTTGTGTACTTGTTTGTACAGAAGATATTTCTTGAAAAGAAAGAACACTGCTGACATACTTGCTTGTAAATCTATCTACAATATTGAAAACACGCTTCTCACTGCTATTCCACCACAACCTAACCATGGCAGGCAAGTCTTTTAATGTCATATGATAGACTGAGCAAGCCAAGTGTGGAATGTGGTATGGAAGAGTTGCTGTTTCTGAGGAAAAAACAAATTCCTGATTAGTCACATGTATTTCTTATATAGAATAACAGACTAATATTAGTATTTTCTTTAGAAAGTGATCCTTAATTCCTCAACGATAGTGCTATAGCTCATCAAACAAACATACCAGAGAAACCAGAACTCTGGAGTATGAGCATCTTTCCACACATTCAAAATGAACCATAAGAATGGCAAAATAATTTTTTTTTACAGTGAAAATCCCAATTGACGCTGAAAAAATCTACCTAGAAACAGAATTCTATATTTAACATGAAAGACCACAAATAAAATAAAATATACATATTTTAAAAAGAAGGAAAAATTAACGATGCTTGGTGTTATAAATTATGAAAAGGAGTTTGGCCTCCTTTACTTTCCCCAGAGCTCGCTGTGCTGCTGTGCAGAGTCTTAGAACACCCAACTCAATACTCACAAGATGCAGTCCATCCTCAGATCTCCAAGGCATTTAAAAAATGCATATTCTTAGTAAATTGTTTCCAATACTGTGGCACAACCACATATATGCATATCTATCCTCTCTGCTCATATGCGAGCTCCCAGAATGAAATACATTGTATTCAACTTTATTTCCCCTTATTTATATGCCTATAAAATGTTATCACATAAGAAATGTTTGTTTACAGAGTCAAAAGTTAATAGTCCCACCACACTAAGCTTCAAAAATATATTAAATTCCTCACAGTCCTTTATTTTAGGGTAAAATCGAATTATTCATCCTATTTAGAGAAATGTGGAAAATGGTCAAGTTCAACATTCTCATAGCCAGGACCTACCTTTGGGGTTATTCTCCACATTCCCAGGGAAAAGTTTAATTCAACCTAGTGTGAATCTAGCGTCCAAGAAAGATCATAAACGCATATCTTACTGACCTCGAATACTCAGCTGGAGCTCCTCAGTAAAGAATGTTTTAGGGTCCTTATTTGGGACCTCAATTGCGGTCTCTGCATAGGTTGGATTTTCTGGCATAAGCCTGAACAGGTGATAGAGCAATTTATTCAAACTCTTTGTTTTCCGAAGATACATTGAATACAGAGCCCGAAGCTGGTGGAGAGCACAGAATTTGTTAGTAAACCAAATACACCAAGACAACTGGTATAAAAGAGCAACTCAAAGTATAACAAATTTCCTTTCCTCATCAACTAGCAGACATTCTATCCCCTCATTATTAGAACAAGTTTCTAATATCTTTCTCAAATTGTCTTCCTGTGTTAGAATACACTCACGTTGGCTTACAGTGTCTGAGATAAAAAAATCTATTCGGCCGGGCGCGGTGGCTCAAGCCTGTAATCCCAGCACTTTGGGAGGCCGAGACGGGCGGATCACGATGAGGTCAGGAGATCAAGACCATCCTGGCTAACCCGGTGAAACCCCGTCTCTACTAAAAAAAATACAAAAATCTAGCCGGGCGAGGTGGCGGGCGCCTGTAGTCCCAGCTACTCGGGAGTCTCGAGGCAGGAGAATGGCGTGAACCCGGGAGGCGGAGCTTGCAGTGAGCTGAGATCCGGCCACTGCACTCCAGCCTGGGCGGCAGAGCGAGACTCCGCCTCAAAAAAAAAAAAAAAAAAAAAAAAAAAAAAAATCTATTCACCATTCCCACAGATGACTCTCTCACTCTCCTCCCAAGTCTTCCATACATTCCTTCCACACCATTGTCCTTAACCTTTCAAATTCCTGCTCAAAACTAATCCCATTTTTATGGCTGACCTCATCCTGTATCAAAAACTCCGACATTCCTTTACGACAGACAGCACAAACTAGTAGTCCAAGATGTCTTGGGGGTCTTCTCAGAGTTGTTTTCTCAATCAGGAGATTTCACATAAAAATATGGATTTCTGGTTTCTGTTTTAAAAACAGAAAAACGAGCCACCACTGGGGGCACTGCAGGCATCTGTGTCAGCCCTGTGCTTCACAACTCCTGCTTTCCCTCAATAACACAGCTTCCATTTTCCACATTGACTTTGCAGTTCTTTGGTATCTGTATTGGTTTTAAGATAATTCTTCTACTATATCACATATCTCCTCATAGTACAAAGATACCATTTTCTTTTTCCTTTTTAAAAATTTTGTATTTTTAGTTTTTGTGGGTACACAGTAGATATTTATGGGGCACATAAGGTATTTTATAGGCATATAATATGTAATAGGGTAAGTGGGGTATTCATCACCTCAAGCATTTATCCTTTCTTTGTGTAAAATACAACATTTTCTTTTCCTTTTTTTTTTTTTTTTTTTTTTTTTTGAGACAGAATCTCGCTCTGTGGCCCAGGCTGGAGTGCAGTGGCCAGATCTGAGCTCACTGCAAGCTCCGCCTCCTGGGTTTACGCCATTCTCCTGCCTCAGCCTCCCGAGTAGCTGGGACTACAGGAGCCCGCCACCTCGCCCGGCTAGTTTTTTGTATTTTTTTTAGTAGAGACGGGGTTTCACCATGTTAGCCAGGATGGTCTCGATCTCCTGACCTCGTGATCCGCCCGCCTCGGCCTCCCAAGGTGCTGGGATTACAGGCTTTAGCCACCGTGCCCGTCCTTTTTATTTTCTAAACACTATGAATACTTACAAGGATCAATAGGATTTGGAATTGATTTTTAAAATATGTTGACCAAAGTGCTCTTATCATCAAACTTAACATCACTAATGAAGGACGAACATCCCAAATCTGAAAATCCAAAATGCTTCATCATCTCAAACTTGTTGAGCACCAACATGATGCTTAAAGGAAATGCTCCTGGAGCATTTCAGGTTTTCGGATCTGGGATGCTTAACCAGTACGTGTAACAAAAATATTTCAGAATCTGAAAAAATCTGAAATCAGAAACACTACTGGTCCCAAGCATTTTGGATAAGGAATACTCCACCTGTAAAAGAACACAATGACATTATATGGCTCCTGAGGTAAGACTCTGAGAACATGTAACAACTTGTGCAGTAAGTACTCTTGCTGAAAATTAACCACAATCTAATGAGGAAACGATCAGACAAATTCAAACTGTATGACAAGCTAAAAACAGCTGGCCAAAACAATGACAAGAAAGAAAAGAAAGGTATAGGAATTACAGGTTAAAGAAACTAAAGAAATATGGCAAACAAATACAAACATGGTTCTTGACTGGATCTTCAACAAAGAAGAAAATAAAACTATAAAGATATTACTGGGACAACTGAGAGTATCTAAATAAAAATTAGGTACTACTGCATCAAAATTAAATTTGAATATAAAAATTATATTCTGCTTATGTAGAAACACGTCCTTCATCTTAGGAGATACATGTTTAAGTGCTTTTGGTAAAGCATCATAATGTCTGCAAGTTAGTTTCAAGCAGATGAGCAGAAAAAGAGTACACACAGAGACAGTACATGCAAATGTGGCCGTGTGTTAAAAATGGGTTAATCTAAAAGAGTATGTGACTTTTCATTGAATTATTCTTCCAACGTTGTTGTTTAATTTTTTTTCAAAATAAAAACTTGGAGATATTTTAAAAATTAATCAGCAATATCAATGGACTTTAAAAAACACACATATATGACCCAGCAATCCCAATGAAGTATACAACACAAGTGAAATGAAAACACATTTCAACACAAAAGTTTATACATGAATGTTCACAGCAGCTTTATTTACAATGGTCAAAAAAACCAGAAACAGCCTAAATGTCCACTAACAGATAAGCAGATAAACAAAATGTGATATCTATAAAATGGAGTATTATTCAGCCACAAAAAGAAATGCAATACTTATGATACATGCTACAATCTGATAAATCTTAAAAACAATATACTAAGATAAAAGCCAGACACAAAAGACCACATGTGTGGAAAGTCCAGAACAGGCAGATGCATAGAGACAGAACACAGTTTAATGGCTGTCAGGAGCTGTAGGGTTTGAGAGGAAATGGGAAGTGATTGCTATCAAATACAATGGGATGTTGACAATGTTCTAAAATTAGATAGTGGTAACAGTTGCACAAGTCTGTGAATACAGTCAGCCCTCCACATCCACGGGTTCCACATCTGAGAATTCAACCAATCGCAGATAGAAAATATTTGAGGGGCAAAAAAAGTGATTTTTAAAAACCCAATACAATAAAAATACTACAAATGTTAAAAATACAGTATAGCAACTATTTCAATAGCATTTACATTGTATCGGTAATAACTAATCTAGAGATGATTTTAACTAGTATACAGGAGGACGTGCATAGGTTAGATGCAAATACTATGCCATTTTATATAAGGAACTTGAGTATTCACTGGGTTGGGGGCCATGGGAGGGAGCCTGGAAACAATCCCCTGCAGATATCAAGGGATGACTATACACTAAAAACACCAAACTGTATGGCCAGGTGCAGTGGCTCACGCCTGTAATCCCAGCACGTTGGGAGGCCAAGGTGGGCGGAACACCTGAGGTCAGGAGTTTGAGACCAGCCTGGCCAACATGGTGAAACCCCGTCTATACTAAAAATAGAAAAATTAGCCAGGCATGGTGGTAGGTGCCTATAATCCCAGCTACTCAGGAGGCTGAGGCAGGAGAATCACTTGAACCCAGGTGGTGGAGGTTGCAGTGAGCCAAGATCGCGCCATTGCACTCCAGTCTGGGGGCCAAGAGCGAGACTCCATCTCAAAAAAAAAAAAAAAAAAAATTTTAAAAAACACCAAACTGTGTATGCTAAGTGGGTAAATTTTATGGTATGTGCAATATCTCAGTAAAGCTTTATAAAACAGACAAACATACACATGTACATATACAACTTTTTCTAGTTCAATCTGATTTGCTAGGAGTTTTTTTGAGAAAAAAGTTAACACATGATTTAGGAATATTTAAAGTTTTCTGAAGAAAAATTGTTTATTTCAGGATTCACCTAATTATTAGGTAGGCAGATAAACCAGAATAACCTACCTAATAATTAGTATTATTTAGTGGGTTATTCTGGTTTATCTGCCTACAGCTCAGTTCAAGTTTTTCAGACTCAATAATAATAAATGCTGCTGTATAATTTTGCACCCTAACCCAATCCCAGCCTAATAAAAAAGGTGATGCATGGCCATTTTCCTAATTTCTGAATATAAAATGAGAACAAAATTCTTACACACAAAAGCCTCAATCTGCTGCTATTTTTTAGAGATCAACGATATTTTAAGAAATTGATGTAAAAGCCCAATAAGGAGCTCTTGAAATATACCATCAGCAAATAAAACCAGCTTAAGTCACAAAAATACGTGACAGGCCTAAAGAGAAAATCTATTTAACAACTGGATCAATGCTACTTCTGTGATTTGATTTTTCCCCTTAGATGTACAAATGCGAAGATGCAAAAATTGATATCTTTGTACCAAGGTATAGGTTATGAGCAACAACATAAATTATAATTTAAAAATTCCAAAAAGTCACATTGGAAACGAATGCCATGGATACTTAATCACACTAAGTGATAAACTAAGTCTTTTTGTATTGACCTGTCAAACAAGGCACATATTTTACTAGGTTAATTCAATCAAAGATTGACAGAGATTTGGATCTTCCTTGTTCTTTTTGAGACAGGGTCTGGCACTGTCACCCAGGCTTGAGTGCAGTGGCATGATCTCATCTCACTGCAACCTCCGCTTCCCGGGCTCAAACTATCCTCAAGTGGGGATCTTTCTAAAAGAAATAAAAACTAGAGAGATCTTTCCAGTTTCTTCTTGGACAAGGTCTTACTTCCTAAACATGAGGCAACAGAGACATCTAGTGGCTGCTAGAATAATTTGGGCAAAATATTTCAGGTATTTTTACCATTTAGGTAACAGTTGGAATTATTACATAGGTAATGTTTCACAGATCTTTCTCCAAACAGTGATTTTCAAGTAAGGTAAATTGCCAATGATGTATTAAGTGAAATCTCCACAACAGAGTGAAAAACTGACCCCCCCAAAAAATCAGAAAAAACACAAGATCCAATTCTTTTGAAATAATTACTATGATAGTACACAATTAAATTATATAAACATTATTTCTTGATATAAAAGAACCTGGTGACTACATTCAGTTAGAAAAAAAGTTGATCTGGCCACATATCAGAGTAATTACTTTTGCTTGGAGGGGTAAGGTATAAGGGACAGGAGTAAACTTATTAAGCAGATTGTCTGAAGTTAGCTGGATAAAATGAGATTAGGCTGGGCACCATGGTTCCTGCCTGTAATCCCAGCATTTTGGGAAGCCAACGAGGGTGGATCACTTGAGCGCAGGAGTATGAGACCAGTCTGGGCAACATGGTGAAACCCCATCTCTACAAAAAATATAAAAATTAGCCAGGCATGGTGGCTTGCACCTGTAGTCCCAGCTACTTGGTGAGAAGATCGCTTGAGCCTAGGAGGCAGAGGCTGCAGTCAGCCGAGATCGTGCCACTGCATTCCAGCATGGGCAACAGAGTGAGACCCTGTCTCAAATACAAAAAAAAAAAAGGATGAGATTAAAACATAAGGATTTCCCTTTTATTAAACTGAAGGGAAGGAAGGTATTTAGAACAGTATCAGAAGCATATTAGGACAGAACTATCGAAAGTTGTCACATATTTATTTACCTGTGATGATGCAGCTTTGAAGAAAGTGAGTATTAATTTCCAAGTGAGAAGGTATCCCAGAACATAACAGAAGTCTTCACTCAGTGGTTTAATAGTAACTATCTGTCCAACAGGAACACACCCCAAAACATTTTCTAGTAAGTCCTCTTGAGTGCTAAGAAGAGACATCAGTGCGGCTGGTGGTGACCTAAGAATCAATGATTAAACACCACAAGTTTTCTTTATAACTCATCCCTTAACAAACTGACAGTACTTGTAAACTTCAAACATTTTAGAAAAATTTCTCTATTTTCCAAAAAACGTTTTAAAAATTCTCCTCTATTGATCCAATTTTAACTCCTAATCTCACATAACAGTAAAATCAAAAAGACATATTATAGCACTTGAAGGAAAGACATTTTTAGAAAACATCTATTTCAATTTTCTGTTTTATAAGTGAAAAAAAAATCACACACCCAGAGAAGCCAAATGATTAGTCCAAAGTCTTTCAGTTAGTAGGGGAAACTGTTAGGGATTCTAAATCCTACCAGGCCTTTTATCATCCTATAAAAGACAAAGTGAAGATTAAGACTTCGAACTTTGTCACTTCATTCTAGTTTCTACTTTACTGCATATTATCTACTTAGCACTATTAAGAAATATCACAATGGTACTATTAATCAGAATGATAAACACAGAAAATCATTATGTGCCTATTTAAAAAATCATGATTGTATCTTTTTAGGAAAATAAATGTACCATTCAGATTACTTCACAACAATGTAAGTTAATTTTCTTCTTTATTGAACTACTCTATTCATTTATACTTTCAGGTGAACTTATGAGATTCTCAAAAAGTAAAATGCTTAACTCTCTTCTCTATGATACTCTAGCCTGGTTCTCTCCTTTCACTGCTGTGATCGTTCTTCCCTTGTGGCTTCCTTCTCCCAGCCCACAAGCATAGGCCTTCTCCAAACTTCTGCTCTTAGGTCTTTTCCTTCAACCCCTCCATCTCACATACCCAGCCTTCTATATTCCATATTGATAGTCACTAGATCTTATAAAACACCAGCTCCAAAATCTCTCCACTTTTCACATTGCCCTCCATGCATTGTTATTTAACTTCTGGAATGACCTCCACCTCTGCTTGCTTCTTTTTACAATTCATGTTTCACACTACACTAGTGTCAGAATCAGCTGATGGCGCCCTGTGTCCTACCAAATGATGCCCAAATCCCCCCCCAAAAAAAGTCATTTTTAAGGCCATTCATTATCGGGCCTCCTTAACTACCCTTCCAGCTTTATCTTCCACTATACCCTGCCTACGCTATTCACACTGGTTCATTTATTCTTTCATTCAACATACTACTCATGATGTCTGCTATAGGCCAGGAAGCATTCTGAAATGAGAGACAGAAATTCCTGCCCTCACAGAACTTAAATTCCAGGAAAGAAAGACACTGTCAATAAAAGTATACATTAAGTGGGAACTACTCAATATTGCCCAAGCACATCCTCACATTCATGACTCAGTGCCTTTGTACATGATGTTCTCTTAATGTATATTGTCTTTCCTGTCCTGCAGAAATGCTACCTAACCTTAAAGGACCAGTTTAAATGCCTCTTCCTCGAGAAAGTCTTCCCTTCCTGATGTACATTAATTGTGCCCTCATCACATGCTATCTTCTGTAGGCCTAAATGATATTTTAAAAAATGTTATCTATCCTCCTTCTTAGCACTTATCATATACTATATTTTCTATAAGGCTACGGTATCATCTGTATCAGATAAATTCCTTAAGAAAAAGAAAGTGCTCACTAAACACTGCATACTCCCTTCAGCATTTAATTAATACTCTGCACAAAGTGGATGCTCAATAGATATTTGAACTGATACACTCTTTCCACAGCCACCATATGGCCAAAGATAGTTTTACCGAACAGTAGCAAACGGAAAATATGATTTAAGAACAATTAAGAGAGCAAAACAATCTTTTGGGTGAAATCTAGATTTCATTTATATCTTACGGATATGAATATAACTCTAATTTATAGTAGAATGAATATAACTCTAATTTATAGAGAGCAAAACAATCTTTTGGGTGAAATCTAGATTTCATTTATATCTTACTTGATAGAATATAACTCTAATTTATAGTAGGAATAAACAGTAACCTGGGACTGAGGAATATAACTCTAATTTATAGTAGAATGAATATAACTCTAATTTATAGCTTCTGTGCTGCTCCAGTCCTCTAAAGACATTATAAGTGAGATGGATTATAAGAATTTAATAAAACAAATTATTTTAAAAAACCTTACAGGGCTGGCTCTTCTTCTTCATCTCCATATGACTTTAGATTATCCTGATCATATTGCGGTAATTCAGGCATCAATCTAGAAATTAGAACATTATTTTAAAATATGTGATATTAAACTGTTTATTAAGTCATGCTCAAGAGCAGAAAGACCAATACTTATTTTATAATAAGTAAATGTTTTAATGAGTTTTCTCTAAAATAACTACTATAGCCAGGACTATTGAAATATAAATTGTGTATAGAAAACAATAACCTAAAAGATCAGGCAACTTAGTGTCCCTATAAATGAAGCAGTCAGATCTCCTGCTTTTAAAACTTTTACTTTTTTAAATGATTAAAAGTAAAAACTAAGCATATATTCTATTTTTTTAGACCATTGTAACATTGATTCAATTGGATGAATTCTTACTTGTATAGCATATGATAAACAGCAATTTGCACAGGCCTAGCTCTGAAGAGAAGTAATGGGGCCAATGTATTTAACAAAGTCTGGAGATATTCTGGTAAGTTTGTTTTTTGGTCAGCAACTAATCTTGCAGGAAGTTTGTGACTCAATAGCTGTTCCTTTGAGATATATGTTAATGTTTCACACATGGGTTTCAGCATTGCATTCTGAAAGGATGTTTCAGACACATCTTTGTTTTCTCCTAATGACAAAAAGGAAAGAAACATGCCCGTCCCAAAAGAAAGTTAGTATAGCTTAACTGATTCACAATCAAGTATCATTTAAGAAAATGAAATAAAAACTAGACATCAACAATAAAGCACTCTTAACTAGAAACATGACCTGAATATATATTCCAGTTAATCTCAACTGTTTTCATGACTTTTATCTGATCCTCATCTAAAAAGAAAGCAAATGTTCAACAGGTTCTATTCACGTGATCCATTCATGTTATCTGAATTACTATTATTTTAATTTGCAACAGTCATTGGATACCTTGCCATTTTTCAATTTTTGTCTGTAAAGTAGAAGCATATATGATGCTTCTGAGAAGCCAAGCTTTCTTTTCTGGCTTTTTCTTTCATTATTTAGTATTATTTGATTTAAACATCAAAATTTTTGGTTTTGAATTTTTCAGTAAGTCATTTCCAATGAATCAATCTCATTATCATTCCCTTTTTCACTTGCCTGTAACAGTCACCAAAATAGGTAAAAGCAAACTGTGGATGCCTTGGGAAAAAAATTCTTTCCATTCACTGATTAGATTTACAGGAAGATTGCCAACGGTATCCAGAGTTGTGGAATCAAAGAAAGCACTGAGGTCACAGGCTAAATCACAGCTGACGCAGGCAAACAGTTGCACAAGTGGAATAGAATACAATGCCTGATTCTCACTTGTTGTCTGAAAAAAACAATAAAAATGAAATAGGTAAACAGACTTCTACCAGAACACTACAAATAAAGCCAATATAAAGAAAAGCCTTTCTTTTATTTCTTTGAATTTTAAAATGAAAAGCAGTTGAAGTATGTAGTCTCAGGAGAAATAAAACAATTTTACATCAAAATAACTTTTTTCTTCAAAATTAAATACCATGAATTAGAATCATTAACAAATAATTTATTCTCAAATGCCCTTTTTAATTTCTAAACTATGGAAGAAAACACTAAGTCAGATACATAAAATACACATTTCTAATCTTCTCAGTAGCCCTACAAGTTGTAAGTTAGTATTTTAAAATAAGAAAATCGGCCAGGCACAGTGGCTCAGAGGCTGAGGCGGGTGGGTCACATGAGGGCAGAAGTTTGAGACCAGCCTGGTCAAAATGGTGAAACTACATCTCTACTAAAAATATAAAAATTAGTCAGGCATGCTGGTGGGTGTCTGTAATCCTGCTATTTGGGAGGCTGAGGCGCAAGAATTGCTTGAACCCAGAAGACGGAGGTTGCAGTGAGCCAAGATTGCGCCACCACACTCCAGCCTAAGCAACAGAGCGAGACTCCTCTCAAATTAAAAAAAAAAAAAAAAGAAAAGAAAAAGAAAGAAAGAAAGCTGAGTTTAAGTTTAAAACTCGAAGTCACATAGCTAATAGCAGGCAAAGCAGAGATGGAGACCAATTCGACCCTGACCGACTTGCTGCCTTGGAGCCCACAAGTAATATACTTCTGGTTGCTCTGGGTCATAAAATTATACTAATTCCCTCTGAATTTGCTATTTAATGCATTACTCTCACAATATTCATACAGTATGTTTTAGAAACAATCTAATTAAAACCAAAAAAGACCAAAATAATTGTCATTAACAGATAAAACCTAAAAGGGCTGTGCTGCAAATATTATAATAAGCTAATGGAGAAAGCATTTTAATAACAGGAGATTTGGTCACTGAATGATGCTGGTAGTCATTAAAAATCTATCATCTTACTATTCTGTCAAATCGTAGCTGGTAAGAACAACATCTATAAAGTGTTTTAAATTATGCAAAGGAACCAATTACAATCATCACTTAAAGAATGAGATTGGTAGATAGTTCTGATGCAAAAGTATGTACAAAGACCCACAAGAGGTGATGACATATCAGGTTAATTTACCTCCAACCAAGCCAACATGGAGCACATGATGAAGTCCCACTCACTCTCTGCCAAAGGGGATGAGCAATATTTCAGAAATAGGGAAAGAAACCGGATTATTTCTATATTTACACCCAGTACCTCTGGACTTGCTTCTGATAGATTACTGTGATGAAGATAAAAACAAATGACAACAAAATAATAATTATATTGACATTCAATTAGAAAATATGTTATTTAAATCTTATATACTCATAAATAACTGACTTAAATGTCTACCATAATTACTCTACAAAACTGTGACACAAATACATCATCTTTGTCTGAATTGTATACTGAAGGAAAAACATAGTATAAAGCATCACCTACCAACTGAAAAGAAAAATATCTTCATGCTCTTTCTTCCAGGATATTATGATTTTCAATATTCCATGTAATAGCTCTCCATCATCTATACTTTTGGTTTGCAAACAAGAATTGAAAATGGCAAGATGTCCAAAACCTCCTGAAGTAAAATTCAAAATGAAAATTAAAAATTTTTAAGAACTATACGGCTATATTTAAAAAGTCCACTTTGAGAAGTAAAAAACTTTCTTGAGAAGTGCTCAGGTTAAGAACTCTACAAATGGCTTTTATGTAAGTGTCCACAAATGAGCTTATAAGCTCCAAAGGACAGAGACTCTGTCTCCATACCCAGCACCTAGCACACAATAGAGAGTTTGGGGGAGGGGAAAGTAAGGGAATGATACTGTAATTTAAATGGACTTATGCTGCTTTTGTTTTGGTTTCTTAAGTGCAGGACATATTCAGCAAACTCATCATTCAAATAAAAAAAAAAAAAACCTACAGCTACAGAGTAGCTGGAAACAGCAAATGGAAAAGAGATCATAGTGTTTCATAATTTACACATTCATTCACTCAATAGCAGCTAGTATATGTGGTAAACTCTGATGTGGACCCTCTCTTTAGAATCTCTACCATTCCTCAAAATCCATCCACTGATGTATCTTAACACCCTCTGTCCCCAACCTTCTATCTTACATACCAGCCAAAATGAACAGTCTGTACTCTTGTATGTTTGTGTACCTGGAATGCCCTTCCCCTGCTATGTCCATGTGGAAAACGATTTATCCTTCAACACCCAGTAGAAATATTTCTCTTTATGAAATCGCCACTAACACCCTCAAAGCAGAGTGGAAACTCCTTCCTTTCTGCCACTTGTATACATAATACATCTTTTTGCTACATCAGTTATCACATGATACAACTTCATGTTTGTCTTCTCTACAACAGGAACTACCATGTAGTGGGTGCTCATAAGTGTTGATTAAATTAATAAACAGGCCGGGCGCAGTGGCTCACGCCTGTCATCCCAACACTTTGGGAGGCCAAGGCAGGCGGATCATGAGGTCAGGAGATTAAGACCATCCTGGCCAACATGATGAAATCACATCTCTACCAAAAAAATACAAAAAATTAGCCAGGCGTGGTGGCGGGCGCCTGTAGTCCCAGCTACTCAGGAGGCTGAGGCAGGAGAACAGCATGAACCTGGGAGGCGGAGCTTGCAGTGAGCCGAGATCGCGCCACTGCACTCCAGCCTGGGCGACAGAGTGAGACCCCGTCTCAAAAAAAAAAAAAAAAAAAAAAATTTATAAACAAATGAAAAGTGCAGTGTTTTAAATACAACAGAGGCTATTTTTGCCTTTATATATTCAGTCATTGGTTGGCTAGGGAGAAATGAGGCACAGCTTTAAAAAGCTGTAGATAGAAAAGAAATAGTTAGAAGGTATTTCTGGGTGTAAGTCTTCCCTCAAGGCCCAGCATTTTTGTACTGTAAAATGGTAACAGCCATTGTCTAATGACACTCATCCATATAATCTCAGAACAAATCAGCTGTAATTCAATTTACCTCTAATAGATATGGTCTTATATATGAGAAACAGTTCTTCATCTCAAGCAATAATTAAATTAATGAAATATTTATTATCAAGCAACTAACCATTAGTACTCCAAAGATCTTTCTTAGTCCAGCCCAAAAGAGCAGGTATACATTGAGCACTAAATTCTTTCTTTTCTTCTTTTGACAAAAATGGACATAGACTTTGAATGGTATGCAAATTGCCTTCAGTTAGTGGGAAAAAACTGTTTAAAGAAAAGAAAAAGCACAAGTTAGATTTCTTCCAAACATACAGTTATTTCATATATTCCTTTTATTTGGGACTATTGAAAAAGATGAATAATTCTATCACATATAATTACGTAAAAAGAAACTATGATAGGTTTTAACAAGTGCTGACTTGAAATTTTTTTGTTTGCTCCTTTTTTCTGCATAAATTTTTAAAATGAGCATATATAACATTTCCCCATGTATGATTTTTAAAAATTACACTAGCCACATGACATTATGTTCTCTTTTTAAAAAAAAGAGTCAACTGCCAGGCACAGTGGCTCACGCCTGTAATCCCAACACTTTGGGAGGCTGAGGAGGGTAGATCATGAAGTCAGGCATTTGAGACCAGCCTGGCGAACGTAGTGAAACCCCATCTCTACTAAATATACAAAAAATTAGCCGGGTGTGGTGGCGGGTGCCTATAATCCCAGCTACTCAGGATGCTGAGGCAGGAGAATCGCTTGCACCTGGGAGGCGGAGGTTGCAGCGAGCTGAGATCGCGCCACTGCACTCCAGCCCTGGCGACGGTGCAAGACTCCATCTCAAAAAAAAGAAAAAAAAAAAAAAGAGTCAATTGATTCAACTTAAATTAATAGTACCAGTTGTGTGTCCTTTCTCTTTTTTTTTTTTTTTTTTTTTTTTGAGACGGAGTTTCACTCTTGTTGCCCAGGATGGGGTACAATGCATGATCTCAGCTCAATGCAACCTCCGCCTCCCAGGTACAAGTGATTCTCCTGTCTCAGCCTCCCAAGTAGCTCGGATTACAGGCATGCACCACCACGTCTGGCTAATTTTTTTTGTATTTAGTAGAGACAGGGTTTCACCATGTTAGTCAGGCTGGTCGCGAACTCCTGACCTCAGGTGATCCACCCGCCTCGGCCCCACAAAGTGCTGGGATTACAGGCCTGTGTGTCCTTTCTTCGAACTGATACTCATATTTGTGCATATATATAGTTGGGTTTTATTCATATAAAAGGGATGACACTAAACATATTGTTCTATCATTTACCACTTATATATACTTTCTGTCAGAATGTATAAATTATTCTGTTTTAAAGCTATATAACAAAAATAAAATCTACCTAACACTCTGTACTATGGATGTGTCATAACTATTTCCCTATCCATGAACATTAGGTTTCTTTCCCCCCCAAATTTTTGCCCTCACACATAATGCTGCAATAAATATCCTTAAGAAGATATTATTCTGCAAATGTATAAATACCTCTTCGGGCTAAATTCCTAGAAGTGGAATTGAAAGCTCAAAGGTTTGAATGTATTATATGTTGGCAATTTCAAATTGCTTCTGAAAACTCATGATCAATTTACACTGTCACCGAAAATGCACAGGTGTGACTGTTTAGCTGCACACTTAATGAATCTTTTTGATTCTTGGCAATATAGTGGATAAAACCATTGCTTTTAATTTGTACTTCTGTCATTATTAGTAAGGCAAATCCTTTCATATTTCACATTTCAGTATTGACCTACCTTTGACCATTTCGTCTATGAGTTGCCTCTTTAAGTCTTTGATAAATTTTTCAATTTGGAGGGTTTTACTGATTTATATAAACTATCTACATATTACAGATACTTTTTGTTGATTTGCAAATGTCCTCTCCCATTGTCATTTGTCCCTGTAATCTTTATATTTTTGTCGCAGTTTTCATCTTTCATAAATACTATATACAAAATTTTAACTGTCATAAAATACACATGTATTTAATGTATTAGCCATTTTTAAGTGTAGAGTTCTGCAGTGTTAAGTCCATTCAGACTATTGTGCAACTAATCTCCAGACCTCTTCATTCTGCAAAACTGAAACTCTACCCACTAAACACGAATGCTGCATTCCTCTCTCACCGTCGGCCCCAGGCAACCACCTTCTACTTTTTATCCCTATGAATCTGACTACTCTATAAAAGGAATCATAGAGTATCCGTCTTTTTGTAACTGGCTTATTTCACTCAGCATAATGTCCTCAAGGTTCATACAGACTGTAGCATGTCAGAATTTCTTTCCCTTTTAAGGCTGAATAATATTCCATTATATGGTTATATCACACTTTTATCTATCCATTTATCCACTGATGGGCACTTAGGTTGCAAGAAGTTTTCATTTTTGCAAAATCAAATATATATATATATATATATATTTTTTTTTTACATATAATGTAAAGGAGAAGGTCTCAGTATTTTTCTTCCAAACACATGACCAATTTTCATATCATTATTATTTATTCACCACACTGATTTGAAATGCCACCTATATTAAAAACTAAATTCACATATATGTGTGAATAGGTTCCTGGACTGTATCCACTGATTTGTCTACTCCTCAATTTCATACTGCTTAATTACTATAATTCAATATTATATTTTATATTTGGCATGCAGTTTCTTTCACTTTTTTCAAAAATTTCTTATTTTTGATAACTTTTTCCTTCAAATGTATACTATGTTCAGAACAGTTTACTAAGTTTTTCAAAAACTGCTGAAATTGATTGAGATCGCACTGAAATTATAGGTTGACACAATCATTTTTACAATTAATCTTCCCATCTTCTTTTGAGATCTTTATTCAAGTTTTACAATTGTAATTTTTTTGTTAAATTTATTTCTAAGTATTTATAGTTTTTGTTGTCATTGTGAATGGAATCTTTTTTTCCCATACCATTTTTAAAATTTATTACTATGGGTGAATAAAAAAGTTATTCATTTTTGTGTGGTATACATCCATCTCCTTAGTAATTAGTTCCAATAGTTCTTTAGCTAATTTCATATTACTTTTATAGTCAGAAAAAAATTTTAATTATGCTACAAAAGCTAATGTCAAAAAGTTACATACAGTATGATTCCATTTATATAATATTGTTTTTTGTCTTGTTTTGTTTTGTTTTGAGACTGGGTCTCACTCTGTTGCCCAGGCTGGAGTGCAGTGGTGTGATCTCTGCTCTCTGCAACCTCCGCCTTTACTGCAACCTCCGCCTCCTGAGCTCAAGTGATCCTCCCACCTCAGCTTGATGAGTAGCTGAAACTACAGGTGCACACCAACACACCTAGCTAATTTTTGTATTTTTTGTAGAGATGGGGTTTTGCCATGTTGCCCAGGCTGCTCTCGAACTCCTGGGCTTAAGCTGTCCTCTCACCTCAGCCTTCCAAAGTGCTGGGATTACAGGCATGAGCCTCTGCACCTGGCCAATTCCATTTATATAATATTCTTAAATGACATAATTACAAACATAGAGAACAGATTAGTGGTTGCTAGGGATCAGGACAATGGGAAGGGAGGTGGCTGAGGCTATATATGGATAACCTAAGGGATCCTGATAATGAAACTGTTCTGTAGTTGACTGTGGTGGTGGTCACAGATGTGAGCTACATAGAACACATACACACTCTATCTCTCACACACACAAACATGTGCATGTAAACTAAGTCAACTGACTGTATCAACACCTTTTCCTTGGTTATAATACTATGCTAAAGTTATGCAAAACAGTACCACTGGGTAGATATATGATTTTTATTCTTTGTATTACTTCTTACACATTCATGTGCATATACAATTACCTCAAAATAGAAAGTTTTTTAAAACTTTTAAGATAAAAAATGATCAAAATTTAATTTAGAATTCTACTATGCCCAAACACGTATCTATCATTTCAGAATTCTTCTTGGTAAATCAGGAAATTCAGAGTGGCTCTTGGTAAATCTCAGCTAAGTATTAATTTGAATGCTGAGCTTCACCAGCACACTCAAACCCACAATCTACCTCTTTGTCTGAAGAACAGAACATATTTGTTACTTTTCTAGAACATACTTCAATAGGATGATGTTATTTAAGAGAAGAGTAACTTTCCCTGTCATTTCCATATAGCAAATAAAGTGATGGAAAAAGAGTATTAGGAAAGGGCAAAAGAAAATATTTCTATCAGAAAGATTTCTGGGGAAAAGAAAACAAGTTCATGAAATGCTGTTGGCTTAAAAAAAAAAAAAAGTACCGTATAAAATTCTACAACAAAAGGCTATGGAGTTAAAACTACTTACTTTAAAAAAAAGGTGTGGGCCAGACATGGTGGCTTACACCTGTAATTCCAGACCTTTGGGAGGCTGAGGCAGCAGGACTGCTTAAGCCCGGGAGTTTGAGACCAGCCTGGGCAACATGGCGAGAGACCCCATTCCTACAAAATTACAAAATTAGCCATGTGTGCTGATGCACACCTGTGGTCCCAGTTACTCAGGAGGGTGTGGTGGGAGGATCACTTGACCACGGGAGGTTGAGGCTACAGTGAGCCATGTTCGCACCACTGAACTCCAGCCTGGGCAACAGAGTGAGACCCTATCTCAAAAATAAGTAAATAAATAAAAAGGTATGTCCCTAACCTAAAACAATTTAATTTGCCTTGAAGTCTTTAATTTCCTCATTTCCTAAACCTGTTTTCTTGATTCACTAGAGATTATTCATTAATTAGGGGCTGCCAAAGTGACCATTTACAGTAAATTACAAAGTAAAAACATTTTAAATAAGAATACCTTTCTTTTCTCTTATAATGTGGTTTTACTTCATCAGATGAAATGCTTCGGGAAAAGATCAACTTAGCAATAATAAGAGACCACAGTGTGCCATGTTCTCTGGATCTAAAAAAGGAAAGAAAAAAATTATATTCCATTTTGAAAGTGTACTGAATAAAATGTTTAAACACTGGCTAGCTGGATTCCTTTTACAGAATTAAATAAGGCACCTTGTGATGGCATCAATTCACCTAAGACTTTGTACCCAAGCAACTGCCAGTAATTATCCAAAGAACCGGGAGTTTAGCTTTCAACACTCCTTCACAGTTGGTATTGAGCTCTCATCCCTAGGAAACTCCACAGTCTCTTCAGTCCCAATAGGGGAGATGATCTTAGAGATTAGGCTTGAAAACCAGAGGCTATAGCTGGGAAAAAGACATCTCCCAGAGGACACCTAGGCTGCCTTAAGTTGAACCATCAAAGAGGTTCTTTGGTTCTGAGGAAAGTTGTGTCAACTAAGTAGAATGGGATTGGAAAGGAAGCCTGGGTCCTCTGACACAGCAAAGCATGCTCAAAATACTATCGGCAAGTGTTAAACTCTTAAAGCAGTTCAACATGGTAATTTCAAAAAGCTAAATATCTTATTACTATAACCTCTACAAGGACTGTTTTCATACCTGCCTTCCTAATCTAGGGGAGAGGGCTTTGTGGTCATAACATTAAGACACACCTATAACAACATGTAAGATAAAGGATGAATCTGAAAGAACTGGGAGGATGAGTCACAGATAAATCAAAACAACTTCTACAAGCTTCTACTTCTTTTTTGTCATCTGATCCCTGAATGTATTTATTGATTTAATAAGACATGTAGAATACAAATATCTTCCCCTGAGAAGGTTAAATCAAGTATTTAGAATTCATACACTATTTATCATTAAGAATAGGAATTATTTAGATCAATCCTCTGACTGAAACATTAGCATGAAGTAGGGTTACCTCTTATAGAAGGCAAAGCCATAAAGAAGTAGCATAGTCATTTTAAAAACAGAAATTGAAAGAGATTGTTACCTATTAAATAACTGCTGCAAAAGGCCAGAAGTATTACCAAGTACTCGTAAGTGATCATACGTAATATTCATTTTTTGAAGCATTTCACAAAATCCAGTTAGAAAAATAGGTGGGTTATCTAATTCTTCACACCACTGCAGCGAATAAAGCAGTTCCGCAACTAAGAGAAGAGACAGCACCAAATTATCAAAAGTACTTTGTGAACAAACCCTTCAATTATTTTCACTTCTCCGCCTTGTTTTCTACCACTGTTGTGCCCACTCATCTCAAAACACCTATTAACTGATTTTCAAATCTGCTTTGACATGTTCAAGGATAATGAAAACTGAGAATATTTGTCTGATACAAAATATCACCCTTTTCCCAAATTTTACTTGGTCCTTTTTCTAATTAGTTAAGAATATGACAAGAACCTAAGTTACTAGAGATACTGAAAGAATCTTCCTACCATTTTGGCACAATTGGTAAAAAGTTCCAGACAGGAAAAACTAAGGGACCCAAGACCTGAGGTGAGAAGTCCATGGCAAATGGGAGAGATAGCAGACAGTATGATACAGTAAAAGGACATGGGGCCTCAGCTACAGATTGGGGTGGATTAAAATCTGCATCTCTCTCTCAAGCTATATCAATAGTTATCAATAAGGATATACAAACTAACTCACAGGACTGCAGTGAGAATTAAATGGACAAGTATCTATCATGAAGCCTGGCATCTCATAGGTTTCTAATACACAGTCACAACTCCCTTTTATAAAGCCATGTATAGATTTTGGAGTGAGAAGCGTTGCGACCTGGTTCAAAATCTAATCCTACACTTAACAGCTAAGCAACTCTAATCAAGACATGGTAACATAAACAATGATAATATCTGACCAATGAGCTCGATAAAATTAAAGAAATAATATTGCGTTTGTAATTAGTAACAAAAAATTATTACTCTACTTACTAGTATTGGGGTTGCCCAGATTTACTCTGTGAGCAATGTAAACTACAGGCTTATTTCCTTTCCCTTAACTGAATGTGAAGCTGGCTGCCCAAAAGAGGTGTTTCAACTTTCTTCCACAGAGCATATATTCCCCCTTCTAGTAACTGTGTTACAGCTGAGGGCTTACAAACAAGACTGATACAGGGTTTCTGCAAATCCTCTACCTTTAATACCATCTGGTAAAAGTCACACCACCACCTATAATTCTAAACCATTTATTGAAACAGGGAAATTTGCTGAGGTCCTAAGTCCTCTTAGGGTTCAACATTTGAACGTCCACTTGCCAGAAAAAAAAATTAGAGCCTGATGAAATATAAAAGTATTCAAAACCACTGGAATCAAAACAGCATGGTATCTGTATAAAAACAGACAGACACAGACCAATGGAACAGAACTAGAGAACCCAGAAATAAATCCACGTATTTGCAGCCAACTGACAAAGTCTTCAACAAAAATGCCAAGAACATATATTGGGGAAAGGACATCCTCTTCAAGAAATCGTGCTAGGAAAACTGAATATTCATATGTAGAAAAGTGAAAATAGACCTCTATCTTTCACCATCTAAAAAGAACAACTCGAAATGGATTAAAGACTTAAACATAAGAACTCAAACTATATAAAACAACTAGAAAGCATCAACGAACACTACAGGACATTGGTCTAGGCAAATATTTTTATGGCTAAGACTTCAAAAGCGAAGGCAACAAAAATAGGCAAACAGGACTATATTAAACTAAAAGCTTTCTGCACAGCAAAAGAAACAATCGAAGTGAAGAGACAATCTGTAGAACGGGAGAAACTATTTGCAAACTATTCATCCAACAAGGGGCTAACATACAGAATATATAAGGAATTCAAACAACTCAACAACAAGAAAGGAAAAAAAAAAATCCCATGCTCAATATTAGTAATCGTCAGGGAAATGCTAATCAAAACCCCAGTTAGAATGGCTGTTGTCAAAAAGGTAAGAAATAAGCTGGGCATGGTGGCACTGCCTGTAATCACAGCACTGTGGGAGGCTAAGGCAAGAGGATTGCTTGAGCCCAGGATAAAGACCAGTCTGGGAACATAGTAACACCCCATCTCTAAAAAAAAAAAAAAAAAAAAAGACAAAACATAACAAATGTTGGCAAGAATGCAGAGAAATAGGAACTTATATACTGTTGGTAGGAATGCAAATTAGTACAGCCATTTTGGAAAATGATATGTAAGTGTCTCGAAAAACTAAAAATAGAACTATCATACAATCCAGCAATCCCACTGAGTATTTAGAAAACCAGTATATCTGCACCCCCATATTTACTGCAGCACTATTCACAATAGCTGAGAGAGATGAAATCAACCTAAGTGTCCGTCAATGAATGAATGGATACATAAAATGTGGTACATATAAGGAATACTATTCAGCCATTAAAAAAAGAACGAGGCCGGGCACAGTGGCTCACTTCTATAATCCCAGCACTTTGGGAGGCTGAGACAGGCAGATCACAGGTCAGGAGTTCGAGACCAGCCTGGCCAACATAGTGAAACCCTGTCTCTACTAAAAATACAAAAATTAGCCAGGCATGGTGGCGTGCACCTGTAGTCCCATCTACTTGGGAAGCTGAGGCAGGAGAATCACTTGAGCCTGGGAGGTGGAGGTTGTGGCAAGCCGAGATCACACCACTGCACTCCAGCCTGGGCAACAGAGCAAGACTCTGTCTCAAAAAAAAAAAAAAAAAAAAAGAATGAAATCCTGTCATTTGCAGCAACACGGATGAAACTGGACATCATCATGCTAAATGAAATAAACCACGCATGGAAAGACAAACATCGCATGTTCTTATTTGTATATGGGAGCTAAAAAAGTGCATCTCATGAAAATAGAGTAGTAAAGTAGATTGATGGTTACCCTGAGAAGGGTCAAGGAGAGCAGGGGATGAAGAGAGGTGGGTGAATGGGTACCAAAATACAGTTAGAGAGAAGATAAAAGACCTAGTATACAATAACACAGTAGGATGACCATAGTTAACAATGATTTATATTTAAAAAAAATTAGAAGATTTGAAATATTCTCAACATAAAGAAATGATAAGTGTTTGAGGTGATGAATATCCTACTTAGCCTGATTTGATCACTACACATTCTATGTATGTATCAAAATATCACATGTAACCCATAAATATGTACAATTATCAGATATCAATTGTTTTTAATCAACAGAAAATTCTGAATCCTTGATAAAACACCAAAGCCTCACCCATTTTCTTTAGGGTATGTGTCATAGGATCTTTTTATATTGATGTCATGACAGTCTGAGTAGCTAACACCAAATTATGATCCACAGTTAACAAGATTATGGCAAGGTTCCAATATATTTGCATCTAATTTGCAATTTAATATTCATCACTTAAGTAACTTCAAGGTTTGCAATTTAATATTCATCACTTAAGAAACTTCAAGGTTCTCATCATTAAAATAGGAAAAAGGAAGCTGAAGATTCTTGAATTAAAGATTTAAATTGCAGTATAATCAAGATTATTTCAAGATTATATTTATTCATGCATTATGTTATATGTAAATGCTCATATATACTTACTTATTTTCTCAAGCTCATTATTTTCTAAGACTATTTCCTTTCTCAGTGCAATTAAGACCATTTTGCTCAATAATGCTGAAGTACACAAATGGCTGGGAAGTGTCTTTATGTCCTGTTCCTTAAAATCTGTTTTGAAACATTCATAATTCAAACTCAATCTTCCCTCTAAAAGAGGTCTATGTAACCACTGTGAAAAGAGTACATTATATACAAAAATATTTATTACCTAAGCAATTAAGACTGAACAAAAATGAAGTTGTGAGAATATTTATTACCAAAACCACAGAAACCTAGAAGTTTGTTTTCTATTACAGGAAATTATCAACATGTGTATTTCTTTAAGACTCCTTAAGTACAGAACTAGGTCTTAAGTCTTTGTACCACGGCCACTGCCACTGTCAAATGGTGTCTTGCAAAAAGCAAACATCCAGTATATGAGTGTACAAAGACATCAAAGCAAAGCAAAATATTCATTTTATTTATGTTTTTCTTCCCCAAAATAAAAAATATTCAAGCTTGCATGAAACCCAAACTTCAGAATGAGATACGTACTCTTCAATTTCAAAAATACCTGCATAGGAAGAGACTGCCTCATCTTTTCCCATTCACTGTCATTCGGCATTACACTTCCAATATAAGCTCCCATAAGATAAGAATCTTCACTCTCTAGAAGTGTATTTAGTAAATCATCAACAGCAGACAAGAGGACTTGGAGACTAAAAATAATGCAAAAAACTTAACTGTTGTAGTTATGCTATGACTAGTTTGAATACCCCAGTACATATTAAATACCCTATAATAGCTTACCTGAACAAAAAGAAATGATGAAAATAAAAAGAGGTAAGTGATGCTCCCCCACCGACAACACACCAACATAACACAGTCAAACTGGGGAGGTAATCCAATATTTATCATCTGAAATCTAGTGTTGTTTCCTATCTATCTCAGAATGAAGAGGACCTGACCTATTTCATACCAGGTATTTCAGAAATATAGCTACCTTATGAAATTCAGCATTATTTTACCTAACCCCAATATCCTCTAAATGCATTCTCTCTTCTCCTTTATTATATGGATGTAGGTATGAGATGTAAAATATACTTGCAATTCAACACCTTAAAACAGTGCCTACCTGTCCCCCAAAAATAAATAACCAAGGACAATCAGTACATGTGGTGACCATCAGAGGCTACAGTGCACACCGGCGTATGACAAAGGATAGTATTACCATCACTTTACTGTCTGTAAGTTATGAGTCCAGCAGGTATGTTATAGTAAATTATGCTTCAATTAATTGGCAGTTTAAATGGATGGTCACTGAAACAAAATGGTTTTGGAAAAAATTTGCTTGGATCTTTTCTTAGAGTCCCATAGATTTGTTACCTAACAAGTCATTTTCATTTTTCTTTTTTTTAAGAGATGGCATCTCACTATGTTGCTCAGGCTGGTCTCGAACTCCTGGAGGCCTCAACTGACCCTCCCACCTCAGCCTACTGAGTAGCTGGGATTATAGGTGCAAGCCCTACAAGTTATTTTTCATAGGCATTCACACTGATCACGGAATCTTATTTAAGGACACTGACCAAGTATAAAAAAGACACTGAAACCAAGCTCAAAAAAGGTTACCTGTTGATATCCAAAGATGAAGCCTGAACTTGGTTCTTCAGCCACACAGCAGACAAATGGAGGAAGGTACTCTCTTTATGTGAACTGTCAGTTTGATGAACCAATAAATTTATACCGGACAGCCAAGTATTTTTCAGTTTACAGATAAGAAAATCTAAAATCAAGATGTCAACAGGAATTTGTAATCTCACTGAATTAACTCTAATCAGCACGAAATGTTTGAAGCAACTCTAGAGATCTGAGATTTTTTAAAATACCATTTAAAAAAGAAAAATTTTAAATTCAATTGCCATTCAAAATTCAATTGCCAAACAAAGCAACTATGTCATAAACATGCAATCACACAAGCTAGCTCGTATCATATAAATATAAAATGGTAAGATATTTAAAGTTACATTTTTTATGCTTGAACTTATTTACAAGAATTGTCCTTTTGGAGACATTAAAAAAAAATTATTACACCTTTTCCAAATACAGAAGTTAGTATTTAAGACAGGGTTGGTAGATAATGATGGGCAGAAAAAAAGAGAGAGAGAAAGAGGAAGGAGGAAAGAAAAAAAGAAACAATGAAGGGTTGGAGGAGAGCTCTCTATAGATCGTATTGTTGTATGTTCCTTTCACAAATAAGTCTGAATTAGCATATAAGGCAAGAATCTAGTCCTTAAAAAGATAATCTCAATTCTATTTTGATATACACCAAAGATTGAATGTTTTTACTATAATAAAGGGATATTATTATCCCCCTTTTACAAATGAGGAAACTAAGGCATCAAGAAATTAAGGAACATGCCAGAACTGCTCAATGGACTAAGATTCTACCTAATCAACTATGGCTCATTCCAAACTTCTTTGAATATCAAGTGAGATCTTTAGAAATAACATCTACACACATCTTTAACTTGGTTTCTAAAGCTGAAAGTGTTTAAGACTGTAGCCCTTTACTCAAAATGCTTTAAACTTTCAAACACATTATGATTCAATTAATAAAGCCTGGGCACTTACACTCACTATGAAGGTCAGAGCCGGAGATTCCCAACAAAACATTTGAGCAGTAGGCTATTACCTGGCAAATGTGTTTTTTCTTTGCTCTGAGCACATAACTGAAAGAGAGTTAATAATAAATCTTCAGATGATGGCATTAGCAAGCATCCTTTCGCTGAGCTGAAATAGTTATAGGCCACATCACAGATAAAAGACACTGATGAGTCACTATTTTCAGCTTCTGATGATTCCTTTGTTTTGAATAAAGTTTCATGAAGTTTAACAATAATTCTTTCAACGTATACATCTCCAATCAAGTAATCTAGAGAAAAAAGGTTCAAACAGACAAAAAATAAAAATATTAACATGTATTTTTAAATATCTTACTTTGGATTAATAATTCTGTGGGTCTTTCCTGGATTTTAAAACAGTGTTTATGTATTAGACAAAATTTTATCAACAAATCAACACATTCTCTCACACATAAAGGCCCTCAGGTAAAAAAGGCAATTTTAAATTAATAGAAAACAGAAATAGTTTACACAGTTAGGGTGAGCAACTTTGCTACACTGAAAACTCTTTAAGTCATGAGTCAACTTTATGAGTTAAAAAAAAAAAAAACCTTTACGATATAGAACTAAAAATATAAAATATCTTCCAAGTCATGGTATGAAGATTAATAAACAATTAGGGTGCTTACAATATTAAGATACATAAATGAGCTGGGTGCAGCGGCTCACGCCTGTAATCCCAGCACTTTGGGAGGCTGAGGCAGGCAGATCACCTGAGGTCAGGAGTTTGAGACCAGCCGGGCCAACACAGCAAAACCCCATCTCTACTAAAAATACAAAATTTAGCCAGGTATGGTGGCATGCACCTGTAGTCCCAACTACTTGGGAAGCTGAGGCACAAGAATCACTTGAACCCAGATGTTGTAAGCCAAGATCACACCACTGCACTCCAGCCTAGATGACAGAGGGAGACTCAGTCTCACAAAAAAAAAAAGAAAAAAAAATTTTTTGAATAAGTCCTGTTATTTTCAACCAATAACACGTAAGCTGAGCCCCATGGAATCCCCCACAAAGGTGAAATGGATTATCCCCTATTAGAAAACAAAAATCCTACCATTTTTAACATGTTGGGATAATACCAAGCTTAGAAGAGTCCATCTTTCTGAGAAGTAAGGTTCTGAAGATACCCTGGATTCCAAGTCCTCATTACAAAGACAGTCTGCCAAGTTGACCAATTTCTCACCAAGGATATTGCCTTTTAGCCAAGGAGTTACTAAAGCATGTTTATCTGAACTAGAACATGCCTAAAACCATAAAATTAAAGCAAAGATCAACAGCAAGATCAAATACTCTCTCTGTCCAAAATATTACTTGTACCATATTACTATCCCTTCGTTTTGATGGCTCCAATTCTATCCCCCCTCCTCCTCCTCCTGAAGTTCTAGGAAGACTGGTATCCTCCCTGTTTCCCACTAAGCCTGGATGATGTTCACTTCCATGCTTTGCTCATGCTACCTTCCCAGCCATAAATATTCCCCCCCACACCTTTTTTTTTTTTTTACTTAAAATCTCATCCATTCTTTGAAAATCAGTACAAATCCCACCTACTTTATGGAGTCTCCCCATCCACTCCAGCCCACAATGATCACTGCTTTTCTCTGAATTTCTTTTTTTTTTTTTTTTTTTTTGGAGGGGGGGTCTTCCTTTTTTCCCCCGCTTGGGTTCCAGGGGCGCAAATTTGGCCCACTGCAAGCTCCGCCTCCCAGGTTCCCGCCATTCTCCTGCCTCAGCCTCCCGAGTAGCTGGGACTACAGGCGCCCGCCACCACGCCCGGCTAGTTTTTTGTATTTTTTAGTAGAGACGGGGTTTCACCATGTTAGCCAGGATGGTCTCGATCTCCTGACCTCGTGATCCGCCCGTCTCGGCCTCCCAAAGTGCTGGGATTACAGGCTTGAGCCACCGCGCCCGGCCTTCTCTGAATTTCTAAAGCACTTACTGGATTGTATAATTATTTAAATGTTTCATCTGTGTATATCTTGTCTTTCCAATGAGATTGTAAGTTCCTTGAGAGTAAAGACTGTCTTAAACTTCTTTGATACCTGCTATCAACACTGTAGATATGTTCAATAAATCATGAATAAACTTTGAAGATAGATTTATAAATGCTCTATAAATTTTTGTTCATTAATTTTGCTAAAATTAAAGAACAATTAATGTATAATAATGGTAAATAACTTCAATATGAACAATGGGATTTATTTCCCCAAATTCTCTGATGGAGTTACTAGGGCCAGATATCTGACAGCAACTTGTTTATTTTCATGAGGTGGGGAAGCAAGAAAAAAAAAACTGTAAATCCACCCCTAAAGCATGCTGATCCATGTTCCCAGAGCTTCTTTTGCTTTAAGGGCTGAGAAGAAAGGAATTTGCAACTTGGTTCATTTCAAAGCAATCTGGAAGAAAAAAAAAAATCCAAGTGCAGATTGGGTAGTGCTTGGAAAACTTTATCCTTTTATTTAAAAATTGTAGGTAACCAGAGCTTATATTTTAGTCCAAGCTTTATCACTAACTAGCCTACAACCTTGGACAAATCTTTTAATAAACGTGGGCCTATCTCCTAATTTGAAAGTTGGAAAGATTAACTTAGAAAATCTCTAAGGTCCTTTTATGGTTCCAAAACTCAACTCTGTTTTTTAATTGATTGTTTTTTTAAAAGATGACTTTAAGACCAGCCTGACCAACCAACACGGTGAAATCTTGTCTCTACTAAAAATTCAAAAATTAGCTGGGCATGGTGGCAGGTGCCTATAATCCCAGCTACTCAGGAGGCTGAGGCAGGAGAATCGCTTGAACCTGGGAGGCAGAAGCTGCAGTAAGCCGAGACCGTGAAATTGCACTCCAGCCTGCTGGGCAACAGAGCGAGACTATCTCAAAAAAGATGATTTTAAGACTGCTCATAAAGTATTAAGGTTCCATAAAACAAGAAAAACTACTTTAGAATTTAGATGGCTGTGATACCTGCTTTCCCAGTGTAGTTTGCCAAGTAAAACCAATCTATTCTGCAGAATCCTGGTAAACAAAATAAACTTCTGAATAAAATGCCTCTCGAGTTAGCAAGATAAAAAGTTCAACATAATGTACAGGCATACCTCGTTTTATTGGGCTTATATTTATTGTGCTTTGTAAATGCTGCAATTTTAAAACTTGAAGATTTGTGGCAACCCTGCATTGAGCAAGTTTATTAGCACCATTTAACAACAATATATGCTCATTTTGTGTCTCTGTGTCATATTTTGGTAATTCGCACAATATTTCAAACTTTTCATTATTATATCTGTTACAGTGATCTGCAATCCGTAACTTTTGATGTTACGATTGTAATGTTTGGGGGTGCCACAAACCACTGCCATGTAAGAGGGCAAACTTAATTAACAAATGTCATGTGTGTGTTCTGACTGCCTTGCTGACTGACCGTTCTCTAATCTCTCTTCTCTGTCCTTGGGCCTCCCTATTCCCTTAGACATGACAATGCTGAAATTGGGCCAATTAATAACACTACAATGGCCTCTAAATGTTCAAGTGGAAAGAAGAGTCACACATCTCTCACTTTAAATCAAAAGCTGGAAATGATGAAGCTTAGCAAGGATGGCACGTTGCAAGCCAAGAGAGGTGGAAAGCTGGCCTCTTGTGCCAAACAGCCAAGTTGTGAATGCAAAGGAAAAGTTATTGAAGGAAATTAAAAGCGCCACTCCTGTGAGCCCAAGAGTAACAGAAAGTCACACAGACTTACTGCTGATATGGACAAAGTTTTAGTGGTCCAGACAGAAGATCAAACAAGCCACAACATTCTCTTAAGCCAAAACCTAATCCAGAGCAAGGCCCTAATTCTCTTTAATTCTATGAAGGCTGAGAGGTGAGGAAGCTGCAAAAGAAAAGTCTGACGCTAGCAAAGGGTGGTTCATGAGGTTTAAAGGAAGAAACCATCTCCACAATACAAAAGTACAAGGTGAAGCAGCAAGTGCTGATGTAGAAGCTGCAGCATGTTATATAGAAGATCTAGCCAAGATCAATAATGAAGGTGGCTACACTAAACACATTTTCAGTGGAGGTAAAACAGTCACATATTAGAAGAAAATGCCATCTAGGACTCTCATAGCTAGCAAAAAGTCAATGCCTGGCTTCCAAGTTTCAAAGAACAGGCTGACTCTTGTTAGGGGCTAATACAGCTGGTAACTTTAAGTTGAAGCCAATGCTCATTTCTCATTTTTAAAATCCTAGGGCTCTTAAGCTTATGCTAAATCTACTTTGCCTGTGCTCTATAAGTGGAATAACAAGGACTAAATTACGGCACATGTTTATAGTGTGGTTGATTGAATATCTTAAGCCCACTGTGGGAAAAACGAAGGAAAAAAAGAAAAAAAAATCCTTTCAAAGTATTACTGCTCATTGACAATGCACCTGGTTAACCCAAGACCCCTGATGGAGATGTACAAGGAAATTAATGTTGTTTTCACGCCTGCTAACACAACATCCATTCTGCAGCCCATGCATCAAAGAGTAATTTTAACTTTCAAATGTATTAATAAGAAATACATTTCATTAAGCAATAGCAGCCAGAGACAGTAATTCCTCTGATGGATCTGGGCAAAGTCCATTGAAAACCTTCTGGAAAAAACTCACCATTTTAGATGTCATTAAGACATTCATGAACCATGGGAAAAGGCTAAAATAGCAACATTAATAGGAGTTGAGAAGTTGATTCCAACCCTCATGGATGACTTTGGGAGGTTCAAGACTTTAGGAAGTAACTGCAGATGTGGAGGAAAGAGGCAAAGAACTAGAATGAGACATGAAGCCTGAAGGTGTGACTGAAATGCTGTAATCTCATAATAAAATGTGGATGGGTGAGGAGTTCCCTCTTACAGATAAGAAAGTGGTTTCTTGAGGTGGAATCTACTCCTGGTGAAAACGCATGAACATCGTTGACATGACCACAAAGGATTTAGAATATTACATAAACTTAGATAATATAGCAGTGGCAGGGTTTGAAAGGATTTACTCCAATTCTGAAAGAAGTTCTTCTTTGGGTAAAATGCTATCAAACAGCATCATATGCTTCAGAGAAATCTTTCATGAAAGGAAGAGTCAATCAATGCAGTAAACTGCACTGTTGTCCTTATTTTAAGAAATTGCCACAGCCAATCCAGCCTTCAGATACCACCACCCTGGTCAGTCAGCAGCCATGAACATCGAGGCAAGACTCTCCATCAGCAAAATGATTACAACTCGCTGAAGGCTTAGATGATCATTAGCACTTAGCAATAAAGTAATTTTAAATTAAGATAAGTACATTGGTTTTCAGATATAATGTTATTGCACTTAATAGACTATAGTGTACACATAACTTTTATATGCACTGGCAATCCAAAATATTTGTGTAACTTGCTTTATTGCTGTGGTCTGGAACTGAACTTACGATGTCTCTGAGATATGCCAGTATGAACATATCTAATGAAAGCTGCCTAGCTGTAAGGAGATGAGGAGGCTAGTGAGTCATGGAAGCGCAGGCAGCAAACACTGGCTAGGAACTTCCAATCACTGCTCAGGAAGAGGATATTCTTCCACACAGATGTGAGTATTTGCACTTCATGGCAGGTACATTCCTAGGTTGGAAATGGATACATTCGTCTACTCTTACCAAATTATTTACACCCCCTGCTCTGATTCAAGGCTTATCAAGGAGCTTTCTGATAATTTAGCTCTTCATGTAACTTGGCTATAGGGAGAGAAGGCACTAGATAAACTAAAGCAAACAGTGTGCCTGATAAGTCATATTCCTCATTGAAAAATAATAAATATTCTGTATTTATTTTGTAAAAATAAAACCACACGGAAAATGGGGAGTTAGTGTTTAATGGATACAGGGTTTCAGTTTTGCAAGACGAATTAAGTTTTGGAAACTGCACAACAATATAAATATACTTGATGCTACTGAACTGTACATTTAGAAATGGTTAAGATGGTAAATTTCATGCTATGTGTTTTTTTACTATAATTTAAAAAATAGAAAAAAACTTGCAAATTGGAGTTAGCTATGAAAATAGAAAAATAATTTGAAAATGCTTTAAAAAGGAGTACGAATTTTAGGTAGCTAGTCATAACATCTCTACAGTTGGAAAAGTGTTAGTTACAACATTTACATCCTCATTAGGAAAGAATACTTAAGCCATTTTGAAAATTTGTAAATGGTTTATGTTCTTTCATTTCTTTTCATTATTCTTACCACTAATTTTCTTAGTGGCAATCATACAAAAACTGGAAGATTTTTATTTACCTACATAGTGTTCCAGAGTAGAGAAAACTTAATTTTCTCATGTGTTCTAGCCAAAGCTAGAACCACCAATCCATTTCTACAGTAGAAAAAGTAACTAGGATAAGAGCAGAAAGTTGTAGCCTTAATTAAAAGATAATAAAATGTTTAAATCTGCCTTTGTTACCTTCTAGGAAAGAAACACTGGATTTTCCAGAGCCTGTTCATTTTTCCCTAATGTTACTAACCAGAAAAATACTACAGGAAAGGAAAAGAACACATATCTTCCCACATTGTAGGAAGAAAGTTACAATAATGAGGAAGTTCTCTAACACAGAACCTGACTATCTGACCATATTTATTGTGTGAATAGGACTATGGTTGTAATATTTCTATTCCCATAAGTACTAAAAAAAAAAAAAAAAAAATCCCTAAGATACCTTTTCAATAATCTTAAGAAGAGAATTCCATTTCAGGTCCACCTGAAAAAAGAAAAAGAGTTATAAACAATCTGCTAGAACAACTTTTTGTTTGAGATGGGGTTTTGCTATGTTGCCCAGGTTAGTCTAGAACTCCTGGGCTCAAGCCAATTGTCTCACCTCAACCTCCTGAGTAGCTAGCTGGGACTACAGGCATGCACCAACATGCCCAGCTAAAACTTTTGAAAAGTAAATGAAGTACCCATGAAACCAAAACAAAACTAAAATGTTCTTATCCAACCTTTTAAATGTATAGATTAAAAGAATTCACCTTTTAATTACAAGTATTTGTCACCCTGGTACTGCTGAACATCTACCCAGCAGCCTTAGATACTTCCCAAATCATGATCAAGAATATACTGCTTGTCCTAAAATTGACATTCACAGTGAAGAAACAACCAGAAAACAATATGCAGGCTCATTCTAGTCATCTATTATTAAAATAATTTGAAAAGATATACAACAGGAATACCTTGGTTAGATCATCCAAGACTTTTTTTCTTTCCATATCATTGTCACAGCACCGGAGAGCACTGTACAAAATGTCCACCAGGAAACCAAAATCCTTCCTTTGATCTTCATTTAGCCAGCCTATCAGTTTCTGGTATAAAAACTGCACCGCAGGATTTTTTTGTGCAAGCTTGGCTATTTCAAGAGGTTTGGCTTGGACAATACTCTGTTTTTCATCACCAAGTAGCATTTTAAATACTCGGCTTGAAGAAAAGGAGTCAAGCAGAGTAGAAAGAAACCTTAGATGTTGCTCTGACTTTTGTTCATTGACATAATTAATACTTATATCTGCGAGTTTACAGACTAAGTCTTCCAAAGGTTTTTTCCTTAGCGGAGACAAAAGGCCTGAAGAATTATGAGTGAGAGAAGGTTCAGTTGTTAATTCCCAGCCTTCAATGTTCTCTCCTTCTGAAGATACACATTTTTCATTCTCCTTATTGCTTTCAGGTATCTCATCAGCAAATCTAACCTTACCAATTTTTTTTTTATTTGACTTCAATGAGCTATTCGGCTTCTGAAGCACCTGTAATAGGTTAGATACACCCAAAATGGACTCAACATCAGCTTCTGGCTCATTGATTTTTGCCACACAGATCTCCAACAGTCTTTCCCAGAAATGTATCAGTACGTTCTCCAAGTTGTGAGCTGCTTTTTCATCTTCTTCCGTGTCTGCTTTGGCTTCCCAGGAACTTAGAGTTTCTGCTAAATGGTTAAATAGCTGCCCATGTTGCAACCCTGGGTCTTTGAGAACTGCATCAATAAAAGGGATCAACTGAAAGAAAAGGTATAATATCATAAAATATATATTTGGTCTTCAACCCCATCTCCTGACACACAACTCTAAAATCCTTGGAATCTCCAAAGTGATATCATTTTGTAAGCTAATGGGTTGACTGATGGCTGGCAGCACCTATATAGCAGGATGGGGGCTGATCACCAGAAAGACCAAGGCAGGATTAAAGGACTAGAACTTTCAATACCTCCCCAACCTCCAGGGATACAAGGGCAGCTAAAGGTTAAGCTGATCACCAGTGGCAATTACTTAATCATTCATGTCTAGTAATGAAGCCTCCATAAAAATGCAAGAAAGACAGCATTCAGGGAGCTTCCAGATAGCTGAACTTGTGGAGGTTCCTGAAGGGTAGCGCACCCAGGCAGGGTGTGGAAGTTCTTCACCCCTTCCTGTGTCTCACCCTGTACATTTCTTCATCTGTATCCTTTGTAATATCATTTATAATAAGCTGATAAATTGTTTCTCTGAGTTCTGTGAGCCAGTCTAGCAAATTAAGCAAACCCCAGGAGGGGGTCATGGGATCCCTGATTAAGATGTATAGCTGGTTGGTCAGAAGCTCAGGTATAACAGCCTGGGGCTTGCGATTGGCATCAGAAGTGGGGAGCAGTCTTGTGGGACTGAGTCCTAAGCCAGTGAGAGCTGACACTGTCTCCAGGTAGAGAGTCAGAATTGAATTGAAGGACACACAGCTGGTGTCCGCTGCAGAACGGACTGCTTGCTGGGTGGGGAGAAATCCCCACATATTTGGTCACAGAAGTCTTCTGTGTTGATTACTATGGTGTGAGAGTAGAGGAAAAACTGTTTTTTCCACTCACAGAAGGTAAAAAATAGAGAAGTTCAATTTTCAAGAGAAATAAAATTTAAACAAAGTATTTGTAAAACACTATAAAATTTCATATTTAATAACTGAAAAACATAAATTTTCCCCTAGAACTCTGAAAAAGTTAACCTGAAGATCTCTTTCATATCATAAAAGAGCTGAATGACTTCACCTCAATTATTCCTTTTTCGTGATAAAACTGACTGGGATTCTTGGTCACTAACAATCTAGTTTTCTTTGCATCTTCTGGACTTAAGTGTTTTGCTTTTCTGCCTTAACTACAGGCAAATCTAAGATGTGAGACTATAAGCCAATATGAAAGATACCTAGAACCCACAGAGTGTGGTATCCTATTTCCTAAATTACAAAAATAAGGGTAGTTAGAGAAATCCTAGGATCTGGGCTTCTATAATCTCATTAATCTCCTACTGTAAAGAACCATATTCCATAACCTTCTCTCATCTCTGGTTCTAAAAGTCAAGCCAAACTTTCACAAAGCATAATTTGAGTATTTTAGAATTAACAAGATGATTGCTTCATGATTTATTTAAACTTACTACAAAAGATCATAAATAGCATCTTCAAAATTCTGCTTTGCATTACATCTTTTTTTTTTTTTTGAGATGGAGTTTCACTCGTTGCCCAGACTAGAGTGCAATGACACGATTTTGGCTCACTGCAACTTCCGCCCCCCAGTTCAAGCAATTATCCAACCTCCTGAGTAGCTGGGATTACAGGCATGCACCACCACAGCTGGCTAATTTTGTATTTTTAGTAGAGATGGGGTTTCTCCATGTTGGTCAGGCTGGTCTTGAAGCCCCAACCTCAGGTGATCCACCTACCTCGGCCTCCCGAAGTGCTGGGATTACAGGCGTGAGCCACGACGCCCAGCCTGCATTACATCTTTCTAAAACAGGGTTTTTACAGGCTGGGCGCAGTGGCTCACACCTGTAATTCCAGTACTTTGTGAGGCCGAGGCGGGTGGATCACCTGAGGTCAGGAGTTCTCGACCAGTCTGACCAACATGGTGAAACGCCATCTCTAGTAAAAATACAAAAATTAGCTGGGTGTGGTGGCAGGTACCTGTAATCCCAGCTACTTGGGAGGCTGAGGCAGAAGAATCGCTTGAACCCAAGAGGCAGAGGTCGCAGTGAGCCGAGATCATGCCATTGTACTCCAGCCTGGGCAACAAAGAGCAAAACTCCATCTCAAAAAAAAAAAAAAAAAAAAAACCGGGTTTCTGCATCCAGACACTGATTAGTTTCTTAGGTATCATACTATGCTAGCAACTGAGAGTAGGGAATTTTTACTTCTCTGGTCAGAAATACACATTACTCAATTGGTAAATTATAAAAATAAAATTTTTACAAGGAAGGCTTATTACTGAAAATGGCAACAAGACACAATGAGGTTGATTCTATATAATCAGTATGCAAAGACACTGACGACTTTTACTAGATACCTGATCATTGATGAGCATCTGTTCAATTTCTTCCTCACCTAAGTTTTGCTGCATTATAAAACGTAAGCATTCAAAAAAAGCAGATATTACTGCCAAGGACTCTGAAGAGCTGGTTTTAGTTCTCTCTGTTGACAGCCTAAGAAATAATTAATAACTGGATTACTCTTTTGTGAAGAAGAAATAAGAACTCAGAATTATCAAAATAAAGACCTCAAAAAGGCATCATGACAGAAGAAACATTTTTAAAGCAGTTTCTTAAACTACAAATTAAATACCAATGAAAATACATATAGCCCAATGAGAATATGAACTTAAAAAACTTTGAAAAAGTTTTGCAAAAAATGATCAGTTAAAAATAAGACAATATTTCCTTTTTCTTCTTCTTCTTTTTTTTTTTTTTTTTTTTTTTTTCCAGAAATAGTGTCTTACTATCTTGACCAGACTGGTCTTGAATTCCTGGCCTCAAGCAATCTTCCCACTTCGGCTTGTGCTAGCACCACGCCCAGCCGAGATATTAATTTTCTATTCATGGAACCAATCCACCTGCAAATTCGAGATAACTTATTAACCAAATAAAGATAATAGTGTAGTAAAAAAAATTTATAATCATTAATAAAATCATGTATCTTCAAGTTCAACAAATGTACTGAAATGGTTAAGTGTGAATTTAAACATCTATAGTAATTTGTGGAAGTTTTAAAAATTTCACTGGCTAATTTTCTGCATTTAGGCATTTGTGTTTATCAATATAAAAAATAAAAAATGGTTACATGTCTCTGTGGTGCAGTTGGTTAGCGCATTCTGCCGTTAAAAAAATGGCTAATTTGAAAAATAGCCTAGTTGACCTATTTCTAACTAGGAGCTTTACCATATAACTTTCTGCTGTGTGCTACTACTGAAGTCTTGAACGTACTCAAGAAAAAAATACCAACTGTAATTCTCTGAAAACTTTAAAAGTATTTAATGAATAGTAAAACAACTTGGAGAAATTTAAGAAAGAAAATAATGGGCCAGGCGCGGTAGCTCAAGCCTGTAATCCCAGCACTTTGGGAGGCCGAGACGGGCGGATCACGAGGTCAGGAGATCGAGACCATCCTGGCTAACCCGGTGAAACCCCGTCTCTACTAAAAAATACAAAAAAAACTAGCCGGGCGTGGTGGCGGCGCCTGTAGTCCCAGCTACATCAGGAGGCTGAGGCAGGAGAATGGCCTAAACCCGGGAGGCGGAGCTTGCAGTGAGCTGAGATCGCGCCACTGCATTCCAGCCTGGGCGACAGAGCCAGACTCCGTCTCAAAAAAAAAAAAAAAAAAAAAAGAAAATAATGAATATAAAACCAGGAAAATCTGTTTTAAAAATAAAAAATTTAAATTTCTTACCCAGCAACTAGAGACGTGAGGAAATTTCTGAAAAAATCCAACTTTGGATTTGTGATGGACTGTGGGAGCTTGCTGATGAATGGCAGAAGGTAAGGATATATGACAGTAGCTAGACCCCGACCACCTTCACGAATCACAGTTGATAGCTTGGGAAACACACTCTTTTTTGCGTTTACATGAAGCCAACAGTCCTAACCAAAGAAAAGATTATAGTAGTAATTAGACATCATAAACATACTTTTCTCAATTAAAAGAGAAAACATATAGGCTCTCAAAAAGAAAAACCCAGTATTTTACCTAAAAAAAGCTAAAATCTCTCACCACCATTAAAAACTAAAACTGAAATTATAAATGTAGTACATATAATGATCATATATTCGACATGCATACAAGATAGTATTGATTAGAAATAATTATTTAACTTCTATTTCTATAAAAGCTGCTTTCTAAAAGGGACAATTATATTTCAATCTTAATTATATTTCATTCTAAATATAAAATTCAGATATGGTGACTGCACTAGGCCACATAAGGTTTAAAGAAATAATTAATACTGACTAAACGAAGTAAAATAAAAACTCTATGCCATTTTTAGTCACTTTAAGATTTATGCCAAGTTTAGATTATTTTATTTCCAAGAAAGCATTTTCCCAATAAGTTTTAGATATTCTTATCTCATAGGTTCGCAGTCATATGATACCCAAGGGTTCTAAAATGCAGCTAAAAGACAAGTATTCCACAGTGTACTAAATGTGCCTTTCTTACATACCTCAATAGTTGTAAGTGTATAGAGTACAGCCTCCCAGAGAGCTGGGCAGACAATTGGGTCACTGTCATCAATGCTAAGTAGAACCGATGGGCTCACTTTGGATGCTTCCTCTTTCATCAGCTGTGGAATGCGCTGGCACAACGCAGAAACTAACTCAAAATAAGCTGAGCGAATCTAAAAGAAAGCAAAGCGGAATTAAATTAAAACCTAGTAAAACTTGATAAGATTTTTAATTTATAGTAATAGATTATTCACACTAACCCTCCCCTTAAGAAAACTAAAGTAGCTAGAAAAAATACTTTTAAAATCTTAGAATATGAAATGGCTGAAAAGGCATAAGGAATTACCAAGGCAAAAGTGAAGGCTGAAAGAATTAATTCAACTTTCTCTTTCTTTGACTGAAGCAAATACAAATCCTCCTTAGTAACAGAGGCCTTTATTTGGGGCCTCCATTATAGCCAAACAAACAGAAAATAAGACACCATGAGCCACAATCAGGAGAAATAAAAGATCTGAGACTTTAAATCTTAGAATGATCAGTCACAAATTTTATAATATGATGCTTATTACATTTAAAGGAACAAAAGTTTTTAAAAACTTATAGGAAAAAGGATCCTGGAAAAAACAGAGCAGATCTGAAAAAGATCAAGCACAATTACTAAACTAAAAATAATTAAAATTTAAAGCTCAACTCATAGTTTAAGAACAGTGCAATGGTCTGAATGTCTCCCTCCAAAATTAATATGTTGAAACTTAATCACCAGTGTGATAGTATTAAGAAGCGAGGACTTTAGGAGACGATTAGGTCTTCAGAGCACTACCCTCATGAATAGGATCAGAGTGCCCTTATAAAAGGGTGAGAGACTACGTTTACTCCTTCTGCCATGTGAGGACACAGCAAAAAGCAGCCATCTTTGAAAGAGAGAAAGCAACCCTCACCAGACACTGAATCTGCTGGCACCTTGATCTTAAAATGTCCAGCCTATAGAACCATGAGAAATAAATGTTTATTATTTACAAATTACTCCATCTAAGGTACAGTTCATCCCTTGGTACCTGCAGGGGATTGGTTCAACGACACCCCACCCTCCCACCCCCACACATATGCCAAATTCCCAGGAATTATATAAAATGTCCCTGACATCAAATGGCGTAATACAGTCGACCCTCCGTACCCACGGGTTCCTCATCTACAGTTGATTGAATCCACATATGCAGAACCTGCAGATATGGAGGACTGACTGTATTTTGTTAAAATAGCCTGAATGGACTAAGGCAGCTGGAGGTTAGATACAAATAAGAGAGAATCAGTGAACTAGAAGACTGAGCAAAAGAAATTATCCACAAAGCAGCATGGAGAGACAAAAAAACGAAAAACAACAAAGAAAACATAATAGACATAGAGGATACAGTGAGGTTTAATATCTATTTAATCAGAATCCCAAAACAAGAGAAGAATGAGGCAAAGGAAATACCTAGAGATAATAGCTGAGAATTTTACAGAGCCAATGAAATGTACCAAGTCAAAGATTCAAAAAGCCCAACAAATCCCAAGCAGGATACATAAAGGAAATCCACACAAAGACACATTATGATGCAACTGGAAAAACACAAGGAGAAAAACTTAAAAGTAGCCCAAGAGGAAAGATAAACTACCTTCAAAAGAAGGACAATAAAACTGATAGTTAATTTTGACAGCAATAATTTAATCAGAAGACATGGAATGGTATCTTCAACACAAAAATAACTACCAACGTACAATCCTGTACTCAGCAAATATATCTTTCAAGAATGAGGGTGAAGGCCGGGCATGGTGGCTCATGTCTGTAATCCCAGAACTTTGGGAGGCTGAGGTGGGCAGATCTCTTGAGGCCAGGAGTTCAAGACCGGGCTGGCCAACATAGCAAAACCCCATCTCTACTAAAAATAGAAAAATTACCAGGCATGGTGGCACATGCTTGTAATCCCAGGATTTGGGAGGCTGAGGCACAAAAATTACTTGAATCTGGAAGGTGGAGGTTGCAATGAGCCAAGATTGTACCATTGCACTCCAGCCTGGGTAACAAAGCGAGACTCCGTCTCAAAAAAAAAAAAAAAAGGAAAGTGGGCGAAATAAAAATACCTTCTGACACGAAGCAACAAATATATAGGCAAATCTAAACACAGATTGAGAGTATAATATTTTGTGAGATTTAAAAATACATATTTAACCCCACAAAATATTTTATGTATATTTTATATAAAATATTACCAAATCAAAGTTATAAAAGTATTTTCAAAGACATGACATTTACAAAGACAGCAAACTTCTAGCTATGCTGAAAAACTTTGATCATAAAACATCAGAAAAATCAAGAAAATTTTGCTTTGCTTTGAAATCAAGCACTCATTCATGAAACGAACAAAAACCATAAGGACTGAGCAGACTGTAAAACATTATTCTAGAATGCAAAAGACCTAAGATAACCAAAAGAATTTTGAAAAAGAACAAAGTTGGAAGTTTTCAACACAGTATAAAACATTAATAACCGAGTGCATGATATTGGGTGTAAGGATAGACATACAGATCAATGGAGCAGAACAGAGTCTAAAATTAAAGTTGTACATATACGGGCAAGTGAATTCTGACAAAGGTGTCAGAGTAAGGATGGGATAGTCTTTCACCAACTGAATACTACATAACCAAAAACTTAATTTTGACTCTCACCTTCAGTTTATATGCAAAAAATAACTCTAAATCCACTACATGGAGCTAACCTATAAAACTTCTAAAATAAAACATAGAAAATCTTTGCAAACTTAGGCAAAGATTTCTTAGATAAGACATCAATCTAGTAACTGGCCATTCAAATAATAAAAATAAAAAATAAGACATCAAAAGCACAACCATAAAAAAAAAATGATCAATTAAACTTCATCAAAATCAAAACATCTACTCTTCAAAAACATGAATGAAATTAAAAGGCAAGCCACATAATGGAAGAAACCATTCATCCTACTTTTATCTGACAAATATTTCTACTCAGGATAAATACAGCACACTTGCAACTCAAAAATAACCAAACTGCAATTTTAAAATGGACCAAAAAATATGGATGAGTAAGAGCCCAATATGCCGGGCGCGGTGGCTCAAGCCTGTAATCCCAGCACTTTGGGAGGCCGAGACGGGCGGATCACGAGGTCAGGAGATCGAGACCATCCTGGCTAACCCGGTGAAACCCCGTCTCTACTAAAAATATACAAAAAAAAAAAAAAAAAAAACTAGCCGGGCGAGGTGGCGGGCACCTGTAATCCCAGCTACTCGGGAGGCTGAGGCAGGAGAATGGCGTAAACCCGGGAGGCGGAGCTTGCAGTGAGCTGAGATCCGGCCATTGCACTCCAGCTTGGGCGACAGAGCGAGACTCCGTCTCAAAAAAAAAAAAAAAAGAGCCCAATATATCAATCCTCCTAAAAGAGGCTCTGTGGACAAAACACACACAAAAAAAACAACTACCTGAGGGCTCTGGAGACTGAAATACAGATGCATTTTAAGAGAATCAAACTGGGAGTAAGTGATCCATGTAGATTGACATCCAATTTTGGCAGCCTTGCCCACATGTGACTGTGGTCACCATCACAAAGGCAAAGGACCAGCTACAACTTCAGTTGAAAGACTGACATCTTTCTGGCTAGAGGAACTAGAAGAACCAGGAAAGAAGGCCAGGATAACATGGGACGATGCAGGAAAGTGGTAGGGGACTCTACAAAGGAAAGGACCACAGAAGGGAACCTCTATATTCTGTATTTTAACAGCCTAAATCTACAGCTTATCTCTGAACTATGTATGTTCAGCTAACTCCACCATGCCCAGCTAATTTTTAAATTTTTTTTAGAGAGATGAGTCTAACTATGTTGCACAGGCTGGTCCTGAACTCCTGGCTTCAAGTAAACTAGAAGCAGTTTAAAGCTAAAACAAGAAATGAACTGAGAGCTAAGCCATTTCCCACCACAGGCATAATGGTTTGGAATGGGTCTAATCGAGTTAACTGCCTGCTAACAAAAACAATACCCTTTGGATAAATATAAAATAATCCAGTCTCCAAAACATAACATTCACAATGTCCAGTATACAATCTTAAATTACTCAACATACCAAGAGCCAGTAAAATGTGGTCTCATCACAAGGGATAAGACAGTTAACTGATGTCAACCCCAAGATGACCCAGATGTTATCAGACATGGATTTTAAAAAGCTATTAAAACTATACTCAATAAAGTAAAGGAAAATACGATGAGGATCAATGGGGAAAACATAGACAATTTCATCTAAGAAACAGAAAATATAAAAAACCAAGTAGAAGTTCTAGGAATAAAAAATATATGAAATAAAAAATAAGCAAAAGATTAGAACAGACACCTCCAAAAAGAAGATACACAATTGGCCCATAAACACATTAAAAGATGTTCAACATCATTAGTCATCAGGGAAATGCAAAGTAAAACCACAATGAGAAACCTCTATTCCAGAGGTCAGTAAACATCTTCTACAAAGAGACAGAAATATATTAGGGTTTGCCGGCCATGTCGTCACTGTTGCAACTACTTACCTCTGCTTTGTAGAAGTAAAGGAGCCATAGATAATACATAAAACTATTTACAAAAATAGATGTTTCCCTCGTGTCCATGGGGATGGGGATGAAAAAAACAAAAACAGATATGCCAGATTTGACACACGAGCTATTGCAATCCCTGATCTCATACCCAGGAGAATGACCTAAACTAAAACGGCTGACAATATGAAACATGAGGATATGGAGCAACTAAAAATCTCACACACTGCTGGTAAGAGTACTACAACTTTAGAAAACATCTTGGTAGCTTCCTATAAAGATATACTTACCATATGACATATCAATTCCCCTCCTTACTCAAGAAAGATAAAAACATATGTTCACATGAAAACTATATGAAACTAAATAATAAAATGGACTGATATATGCAACAACATGAATGAACCTTAAAACATTACACTAAGCAAAAGAAGCTACATAGACAGTAATGTCTAGCTCCATTTATATGAAAGCATAGAAAAGACAAACCTAATCTGTAGTGATGGAAGGCAAATCAATGACTGCCTGGGATAAAGGCAGAGGATGACTTGGATGGACAAAAGGAACGCATTTTGGGTAAAAAAAAAAAAAAAGTTCTATTTCTTTATTGTAGTGGTTATATGGGTATATATACATGTAGATGGGTGTATACATCTGTCAAAACTTAACTGTAAAAACGGCTGCATTTTACAGGATTGTGTGCAAATTATACTTCAATAAAGTTGATTTTTTTAGAATTATTGTAGGATATTTTTAAGTACCCAAATAAACTGAGAGGCTGGGCATGGTGGCTCACACCTGTATTCCCAGCACTTTGGGAGGCCAAGGCTGGTGGATCATTTGAGGTCAGGAGTTCAAGATCAGTTTGTCAACACAGTGAGACCCTGTCTCTACTAAAAGTACAAAAATTAGCCGGGCATGGTGGCACATGCTTGTAATTCCAGCTACTTGGGAGGCTGAGGCAGGAGAATCACTTGAACCCAGGAGGCAGAGGTTGCAGTGAGCCAAGATCACACCACGGCACTCCAGCATGGGCAACAGAGTGAGACTGTCTCAAAAAAAAAATAAAAAAATAAAAATTGAAAGAGATGAGAAGTTCATGGATAGGAAGACTCAATAACATAAAGAAAGCAAGTCTCTCCATATTGGTCTATAAATTGAGTACAATCCCAATTAAAAATCTAGTTAGACTTTTTTTAGAAATTCAATAAATGTACTGGAATTTGTTTTGTGAAGACAGGATCTCACTCTATTGCCTAGGCTGGAGTGCAGTGGCAGCACAATCAAAGCTCACTGCAGCCTCAATCTCCCAGGCCCAAGTGATCCTACTATGACAACTTCCCAAGTACTTAGGACTACCAGCACTCCCCACTGTGCCCAGCTAATGTTTTTACATTTTTTAGATGGAGTCTATGTTGTGCAGGTTGGTCTCAAACTCCTGACCTCAAGTCATCCTCCCGCCTTGGCCTCCCAAAGGTCTGGAATTACAGGCGTGAGCCACCACTTCCAGCCCAACTTTACTGAAAATTTTATGAAAGAATAAACTGGCCAGGCACAGTGGCTCATACATGTAATCCCAGCACTTTGGGAGGCCAAGGCAGGTGGATCACCTGAGGTCAGGAGTTTGTGACCAGCCTGGCCAAAATGGCAAAACCCTGTCTTTACTAAAAATACAAAAATTAGCTGGGCCTGGTGGCGGGTGCCTGTAATCCCAGCTACTCGAGAGGCTGAGGCAGGAGAATCGCTTGAACCCAGGAGGCGGAGGTTGCAGTGAGTTGAGATCGTGCCACTGCATTCCAGCCTGGGCAACAAAGTGAGACTCCATCTCAAAAAAAAAGAACACAACCCAAAAAATGTGACTAACTTGGGCAGGTATTAGGACATATCACAAGGCCAGGCGCAGTGACTCATGCCTGTAATCCCATTTGGGAGGCTGAGGTGGGCAGATCACCTGAGGTCAGGAGTTCGAGACCAACCTGACCAACATGGTGAAACTCCATTTCTAGTAAAAATACAAAAATTATCTAGGCATGGTGGCAGGTGCCTCTAATCCCAGCTACTTGGGAGGCTGAGGCAGAATGACTTGAACCTGGGAGGTGGAGGTTCCAGTGAGTCAAGATTGTGCCACTATACTCCAGCCCGACTAACCGAGTGAAACTCCGTCTCAAGAAAACAGCCTGGCCAACAGGCCAAAACCCGTCTCTACTAAAAATACAAAAATTAGTCAGGCAAGGTGGCGGGCATCTATAATCCCAGCTACTTGGGAGGCTGAGGCAGGAGAATGGCTTGAACCTGGGAGGCAGAGGTTGCAGTGAGCTGAGATCATGCCACTGCACTCCAGCCTGGGTGACAGAGTAATACTCTGTCTCAAAAAAAAAAAAAAAGACGTATCATAATGTCATACTGACAGCGGCACCAGTATAAGAAGAAACAGAGACCAATGCATAAAAACATAGTTAGAGGCAAATTTCTGAATGTATGATTTTTTTTTTAAATAGGTTCTTGCTCTTCCCCCAGGCTGGAGTGCACAATCAAGGCTGGTTGCAGCCATGACTTACTGGGATCAAGTGATCCTCCTGCCTCAGTCTCTGAGTAGCTGGGACAATAGGAGTATGCTGCCACACCTGGCTAACTTTTTAATTATTTTTTTGTAGAGACAGGATCTTGTCATGTTGTCCAGGCTGGTTTTGAACTCCTGGGCTCAAGTGATCCACCTGCCTTGGCCTCCCAAAGTTCTGGGATTACTGGCATAAGCTACTGTGCCCAGCAGTATCTAAGAACTTAATGTCTTGTAATGACATGACCACAGATGAACAGGGAATAAACAGTTTACTAGGTAATGTTAGGAAAACTGACTCACCATATATGAAGAAAAATGTAACTAGATCCATACTTAACACCAAATGAAAAGGTAGATTACTGATGAAGTAAAGATTTTATAAGAAAGCTAAAACTGCAATATAAAGCCTACAACTATAAAGCTAAAAAAATTAAAAATATAAGAATATGACTTAAAGGTGGGAATAGCCTTCATAAGGCAAAAATCAGTGACTTTGATCACCTCAAAATTAAGATTTCTTTCTGACATAAGACACATGGCAGAGGTGACAGAATGGGAGCTTTTTTGCATTGCCTAAAAATGACAAAAGATAATCTGTCATGAGATTGGAATTTTTAAAAAAGACAAAAAGACTAATATTTAGATTATAAAAGGACTTCCTGCATAAAAAGAAAAAAAGAACTCCAAAAAGGAAAAATGAACAAGAAACACAAAAACGAAAACATGCTAAAAATTCTTGAAGAGATGCAGAATCACCAATAAGGAAAGTAATTCCAATTAAAGAGAGGTATCACCTGAATTCCTATTAGGCTAATGAAAAATTAAGCAGCTGAATGTTGCCTAGTAAAGGCTAGAAGATAAGATTATGCAGTATAGGAGTCATCATGTATGATGGTTGAGTCCAGAGTAACGCAGCCATTCAGGAGAGCAATCTGGCGCTATTTTAGGAAATTAGGTATGCACACACTTTACTGACTCAGCAATTCCGACAGTTTCTTAAGATCCAAGGACACATGAATGAAGATGTTCATTGCTGCATTACTCGTGAAGGCAAAGAGTTGGAGGCAATCAGGATCAATCACTGGAGGAATGGGCAGGCTAAACACATAGGTACATGCAAACTTCTGAATACTACAAGGCAGGTAGAAGTCATGGATCAGTTGTACATATAGGAACATGAGGGATCGTTTTTTAAAAGCAATAAATAAAAATAAATGGAATAAAATATAACACAGTACTATTTATGTGAATTAAAAACTCAAGCACACACAAAAGCACATTTTTAAAAAATACAGTCAATCCTCACAAATCCCATATTTGCCAATTCACCTACTTGCTAAAATGTATTTGTAACCCCAAAATCAAAACTTGCAGTGTCTTAGGCCGGGTGTGGTGGCTCACGCCTGTAATCCCAGCACTTTGGGGGGCCATGGCGGGTGGATCATCTGAGGTTAGGAGTTTTGAGACCAGCCTGGCCAACAAGGTGAAACTCCGTCTCTACTAAAAATATTAAAAAATTAGCCAGGCATGGTGGCAGGCGCCTGTAATCCCAGCTACTTGGGAGGCTGAGGCAGGAGAATCACTTGAACCCAGGAGGCGGAGGTTGCAGTGAGCCTAGATTGCGCCATTGTACTCCAGCCTGGGTGACAAGAGCGAAACTCTGTCTGGAAAAACAAAAACAACAACAACAACAACAAAAACTTGCAGTGTCTTGCAGTCATTTGTGGACATGCATAGAATGGCAAAAAATCTGAGTCACCCACGTGCACATTCCCAGCTGAGGCTGAACAAGGCAACATTCCCTTATTTCAGTTCTCATACTGTAAAAAAGTGTCCTTTTCACAGTATTTTCTCAAATTTTTGTGCTTTTGATTGGTGATTTCATGTTTTAAATGGCCTCCAAGCAGCAGAACTGAAGTGCTGTCTATTGTATCTAAGCACAAGAATGCTGTGATGTGCCTTCCAAAGAAAATATGTGTTAGATATGCTTTATCCAGGCATGAGTTTTAGTGCTCTTGGCCGTGAGTTCAATGATAATGAATCAATAACAGCTATGAAAAAAGGTGGCTTTAAACAGAAACACACATAAAACAAGGTTACGTACTGGTTATATCAGTTATCAACTGACAAAAATGCTGTGAATAGAGGCTCACAATAACCTAACCTTGTATTTGCCGTAAGGGCAATGCCTCAGTATTGACTGAGTCAGTATTCATGATGAGTTTATAGAACGTAACTACTACGAATGACGAGAATCAACTGCACAAACAAAAGCACATATATTAAACATAGTAGAGCAGTCAGCCAGTGAAAGTAGAGAATGGAGAGATGGACAAAAGGGAAAAAATAAATACATTAAATGAGAAGAGACTTGCACACACCAATTTTAAGGTGCTATGAACAAAGGAGTATGGTAATTCATACTGATAATTCTGAATCTGAGGCCCAAACTAAATAAAAAAGTAAAAACAGAGTAACATTCTAGTAAGAGAAGTAATTCAGCAAATGAATGGCCTACCACAGAGATGCGCTTGCAGAGTTCTAAATATAAACAATAAACATAAAACATAAACTAAGAAGATGGGGCTAAGGAATCAGAGAAATGTCTTAAGATAAAAAAGATTAATATACCTGAGGTACGCTGTGCTTTCCATACTTCCAAAACTTATTCTGTGATAAAAGAGACTTAAATTTCTCCTCCAGAGAATCAAGTTCATTATCAGGTAAAAGGCAAAGCAGTTTCTTTAATGCCAATAAGGAACAAGTTACAACCCGGTAGAATTTAGCTTCTCTTTCTTCCTCTGGAACAGTTCTTGATATAAAACAAAATAAATATATTAACAAATTTAGAATAAGCCAAACTATATATCTGGTAGTTCCATTTTAAAACATTTTATCATTAAGTATGTACCAAAGGTGCTTTATTTCTATCTTCTATTTCCCCTGTGCTAATGACCCTCAAAATGTAAACATACAAAGAAATTTAATCACATACTTTACTACTAATACAAAGTGAAAGTAGATGAAAAGCCAAGGCTTGCGATAAGTGAGAAAGTATACTGTTCTTAGTAGCATGTACAAGGGTGATCCCAGGGAATGGATATCAAGCCATCTAAGACTATTTTCCCTCAAGGACTCTTAAAACTTTAATTAGAATACAAAAGTAAACAAAATACTTTACTACTCTTTCAACAGAACTATTTATATTCTTCAACTATGTTCAACCAGACCTTAAACTACTTCCTCTTACAACTGTCAAAAAGTAAATGCAGGAAACATATACAAATATCTCTTTCTAATACAACCAAATGTGTAGCTCCCAGATAATTCAAGTTAAATAGCAGGACAGCTTGCAAGTAAAAGCACTTAATACAGCATCTCACATATAGCATTATATTATTTTCATCTCTACATATATTATTCCTTCTTTTTAAAAATGTCACATTGGGCCGGGTCCAGTGGCTCATGCTTGTAATCCCAACACTTTGGGAGGCCAAGGCAGGCGGATCACTTGAGGTCACAAGTACAAGACTAGCCTGACCAACATGGTAAAACCCCGACTCTATGAAAAATACAAAAAAATTAGCCAGGTGCAGTGGTGCATGCCTGTAATCCCAGCTACTCGGGAGACTGAGGCATGAGAATCACTTGAACCCAGAAGACGGAGGTTGCAGTGAGCTGAGATTGAATCACTGCAATGCAGCCTGGGTGACAGGGTGAGACTCTGTCTCAAAAAAAAAAGTCACATTGAAATCATCTGATTACTTATGAGTGAAATAAATCCTTAACATGAGTTACAATGAAATAATACAACTTACTGCGGGTCACTGAGTGTATCAGGTGTTTCTTTTATAAGATGATCCTGCAGCACCTACAAAGGGGGTAAAATACCAAAGCCTTTGGTTTTATTGAATTGTCAATGGTGAACAGACAGAGCCTAGTTAAATAAAATCCATTTTAAAAATCCCCATAAACCTCATCTTACCTAAGAGAAGAATCAAATAGCAAAACTGAAAGGTATGAATTTTACCAATTTTTCTTTCCCTATCAATTCCCAAGGTTAGCTGCTGTTGGAATAAAAAGGATAGATACCTCTTCCCCACGCAACTATAAATACTCCTGACCACTTGTTCCTCCAATTATCTTGCACACAGCAATGAAGTGAATGTGAATCTGGGAGAGAAATTAGGCTCTGCTTTCCCCTCCCCTCTTTCTGTAAGCCTGCTTGCCCACAAAGAACGCCATACATTGTGCTCTGCTCCATCACAGAGGAAGGTATGAGGTTTTCAAATGTGGAGAAGTCTGTTTCCTCCTGGGATGTAATGCAAGAGAGTCCACTGTTCCAGGAACTGCTTTATCAGCATAAATAAGTGCAGTAACAATAACTAACACTTATTGAGCTTTTGCATGTGCCAGGTATAGCTTTGAGCACATTTTAGGCATTAACTAAATTAATCCTCTTAACTCCATGAAGTACAAGTTAATTCCTGCTTTATAGATTACGAAATGAAGGCACAGAAACTTGCCCAAGGTCACACACCTAGTTGCTAGCTGATGGCAGAGTGGGACTAGAACTAATGGTGTGACCCAGAGCCCATGTCTTATAGACAGTACGATATACTATCTATAATGCTGACATTTTTATTTTCATTTGCCTAACTCCTCTCTAATACATGGGTTTGGAATTTGAGACAGTTCAACGCCAATAGCCATAACAAACTGTGACATAGCCAACTAAAGGGAAACTAAAATGGAAGAAATAACCCATATGTTCAATAATCAGTTATCCATCCATGACAAAGCCAAGAACAAATTTATTTTTTAAAGCCCATGAAGAGCCAAATTAGTTGTCTCAAAATTCATTTCCTAAAGCTCTTAGTGTCCAAACTCATGACACTTCACTCTTGTAACATTTATGACTTGGCATTTTAAATCAACCAATGATTCTTAAGTTACAGATGGGTTAGAGAACTCCATTTGAGCATATGATTAAAGCTACAAACCCTCTCCCTAGAAAAATACACTTGGTACACCTGAGAAATGAAGAATGGAAGAACCTAAATGGGGTACTAGAATCAAGTAATGTGTCGGGAGGCTGGACGTGGTGGTTCACGCCTGTAATCCCAGCACTTTGGGAGGCCGAGGCGGGTGGATCATGAGGTCAGGAGTTCGAGACCAGCCTGGCCAACGTAGTGAAACCCCGTCTCTACTAAAAATACAAAAATCAATCGGGCGTGGTGGTGGGCGCCTGTAATCCCAGCTACTCAGGAGGCTAAGGCACGGCAGGAGAATCACTTGAATCCGGGAGGCAGAGGTTGCAGTGAGCCGAGATTGCACCATTGCACTCCAACCTGGGCAGCAGAGAGACTCCATCTCAAAAAAAAAAAAAAAAAAGTAACATGTTGGGGGATGCTGGGTGAAGAGATTAGATAGGTAAGCAGGGACCTGATCATGCAGAGCCTTGTATGTCAAGACAAGAAATCTGAACTTAAATTGTAATGGTGAGCCACAGGGAGGACGGCTAATTGAAAGGAAAAAGGAAAGTGGGGAGAGAGGGTCAGAAGGACATGTTTAAGCAGGGTTATACACAGGGTGTTGTGGAAACATAGGAGTACTAAATAAGGGAATAAATGCAAGCAAAGATTTAAAAATTATCAATTCCCTCCTCACTCCTACTTCATCTGCTTTTATTTCTCAATATAATTCTAACAACTTTGTTGTCTGGTTTTTCTAGTGCATATACCGGGAATAGCAAATGAAGGGGGAAGAAATGAGACACTACTAGAAACAGACACACTGAAAGCCACAAACAGGTATGGCTGATAACTTTTTATGAGAAAGTTATGGCAAAAGCATTGGCCCAGTGTGGAGAAACTTCATCTGATAATGGGAGTATAAATTTACTTGGCCTTGAAGGGCCATTTATCATTATCTATAAAAATTTTTAATGTTCTTATACTTTGGCCCAACATATGCTTACTAGAAGTTCTAGTAAGTATTACTCCCACAAAGGTATGAAGAGATCTACTTAAAAATGTTTACTGAAGTAGCATTTGTTATGATAAAAATTGGAAAAAAAATCCAAATGTACTTTAATATAAAAAGAGTTAAATAAACTATAGTACATCCATGTATAGTAATACCAGAGATCCAATAAAAAGACACTAAGGTAGATCTATATATATATATTGATCATGGAAACATGAGAGAAAGTAATTTTAGATTTATTTTTAGATATATTATTTGTTTAGATTATATAAAACATGTCTACTTTTTAAAAATGTAATTAAGACTTCAAAATTAAAATGGAAAATTTAAATACTGTAGAAAGATCCAATCCAAAATGTTAATTTTGTTAAAGATCCAAAATGGTCAATTTTACTAAACAGAATTTTAAAACGGCAATCTTCAGTTGGAAATATTTATTTTAATTATTTTTTTTGAGATGGAGTCTTGCTCTGTCACCCAGGCTGGATGGACTGCAGTGGCACGATCTTGGCTCACTACAAGCTTCGCCTCCTGGGTTCACACCATTCTCCTGCCTCAGCCTCCCAAGTAGCTGGGACTACAGGCACCCACCACCACGCCTGGCTAATTTTTTTGTATTTTTAGTAAAGACGGGGTTTCACTGTGTTAACCAGGATGGTCTCGATCTCCTGACCTCGTGATCCTCCCACCTCACCCTCCCAAAGTGCTGGGATCACAGGCGTGAGCCACTGTGCTCAGCCTTCAGTTGGAAATATTATACTTATTCATTCCCCTACAATCCCAAGTAAAAAAGCTGTCATTATGCTTATAACCGTTAAATACTTAAAATAAAAAAAAAAAGATTCAGAATAATTCCAGAACTTACACTTGTAATTTCATCCTTACAAAATGCTATGGCTTCAGGTTGCTTGCTTGGAGGAAAAGCCGCTTCAAATGCATCTTTTGCTGCAAACGCAGCCGGTGTATAAGTATCACATTGAGCCATTAGCCAATATCCCATTAAACTTTTTAAGTAGGGAGCCAACTGTTTCTTTACTTTAAGGATAAGTTTTTCAAAAGCTTGTTGTGTGGCTTCTCGGACCCGACGGTCATGATCCTATTAAAAATATAAATGTGATTTAAAATAGCTCTAGCCCATAAAAACAATCACAGACACTTCTGGATATGCTATAATGACCCATTATCAAGAATTCACCTATGCGTTAAGCTAAACTGAAATCATTTTTTTAAATCAATAACTTCGAGGTTTTTAAATCAGAAACTATATAAAATAATTAATTTTTCTTTCTCCCCTTCTCCCAATGAGATAGGATTGTATTCAAGACAGATTCAAAGTTGGGCCTTGAGGCCGAGCCTGGTGGTTCACGCCTATAATCCCAGTACTTTCGGTGGCCGAGGCAGGTGGATTATTTGCAATCAGGAGTTCAAGACCAGCCTGGGCAACATGGTGAAACCCTGTCTCTACTAAAAATACAAAAAATTAGCAGGGCATGGTGGCACACACCTGTAATCCCAGCTACTCAGGAGCCTGAGGCAGGAGAATCACTTGAACCCAGGAGACAAGGTTGCAGTGAACAGAGATCGCGCCACTGCACTCCAGCCTGAGTGACAGAATGAGACTCCATCTCAATTAAAAAAAAAAAAAAAGTTGGGTCTTGAATAATTAAACAACTCACTCTCATTCTTCTGCAGCAAATATACAAAGAATAAAATCATCAAAATTTATTAAAACTGGAAAGCACCAGGGTAATTCTCTAGTAACAATCTAATTTCTGAAAACAGACTTCCTAAATGTTCTTCTTAACCTGACACAATCCAATCTTTTTTTTTTTTTTTTAAAGATGTTGTATTGCTCTATTATCCAGGCTGGAGTGCAGTGGTTCAATCTTAGCTCACTGCAACCTCCGTCCCCGGGTTCAAGCGATTCTTCTGCCTCAGCCTCCCAAGTAGCTAGGATTACAGGCATCCACCACCACACTCGGCTAATTTTTGTATTTTTAGTAGAGACAGGGTTTCACCATGTTGGGCAGGCTGGTCTCGAACTCCTGACCTCAAGTGATCTGCCCATCTTAGCCTCCCAAAGTGCTGGGATTACACACATGAGCCACCATACCAGGCCCCAACCTCTTTTTTTATATCCACGCTCTTCTGAAGTGTTAACAATTCAATCTGCAAAACAATGCTGACATAACATTTAATAACCCTCACCAAAAAATCAACATTATAAATTTGAGAGTCTCCATGACTCCAACCAAAAAATATACAACAGAAATAAACTAGCAAAGTTTTAATACTTACAAGTGAAATTTTGCAAAAAATTCTTGGCCAATATGGAAGAACTCCTTTCACAGTTTCTGTGTCTCTCTCTGTACACATGGTTCCAAATTCCTGCATAGCCTAAAAGTAAGTCATTATTAACCTCATTAGGATTAACAACCATAATACTGGCTATTAATTATTCTGTTCTGGAAGCTTTGTCTATTTTATGTAATAGGAGAATACACTATTTCTGTTTATGCCATATGAGACTAGTTTGAAGAGCTCCTTCACAGACTACTATGGTAGAAACTCTTCAGTTGTTTTTTAAAAAATAAAACATCTACAAACAAAAAATACCTCATTTAAAGTTACAAGGTCAAAGTTACATTTCCTAACGGGAAAAATTATACAGCCAAAATTCTAAAGCAGTTTTAAAAAGTTCAGTGTAACAAACTAATTTACAACCTAGAAAATAAATATCAACTAAGTTTAAGACTGTGTGACAGAAAAAAGTACAATTATAAAAGAACTTAGCAATTGTTCATTTTTCTTTACATAAAACATGCTAATGACTTTTGTTTTAGCAAAGGGATTTTCTTGATAATTTTTATGAAAACAAGAAAACTTGCTTTTAATTTTGTGGTGACATCTTTCTTTGAAAGCTTCCGCAGCACCATTCGGAAATCAGAATCTACAAGACTGTCAATTTCTTCAGCTCCTTGAATAGCAGGAACATAGCCTAGGTCACTCTGAGATGTTCCAAAACCAATAAATCCAGGCACTGTTCCCTGTTCTTTGGCAAGGAGTTCTGCAGCTCGGCCACTGTTTGATGGCTGATAAGAAAATTACGGAGGAAAAAAGTCAGAGTCCAGGAAGGGTTCAAAACTTAACTTTATAATTCCTTGGCTATTCCCATGGTCAGAATGAGCTTTTATTTTATTTTTTCCTAGCCTAAAATTTCATCTATTGCAAAATTCCCCAAAGATTAATGGTTTTGTTCCCAAGAATCCATCAATACCGATCCTAGAAATTATTCCGTTTCCTAAACGTTAGAATGTTTTGTAAACCATAGATACAATCCATTAGTGGCTCATGATATCAATATAATGGACCGTGACAGAATTTTAAAGAAATTGACTAAAACTTTTAAAATCAGAATGTATCACAAGTAGCAAAATTTTCATAAATGCTGTTTTATGAATTTTTTTATTTCCAACTTTCATATAAATAGTATGTATACACATATGTATACTATGTAAAGATGTAAAATTAACTCATAAATAGAACCCATCCTTTCATTCACCCATTAATTGAACAAATATTTATTAAGCAATCACAATGGCCCAGGTCTAATGATAGCTGCCTCTAGACTGGGAGTTCCTTGAGGGTGGACACACTCATTTCCATATATTCCAAAGCCTAGCCTAAACTCTTTGGGCTAAAATTACATTATTACAACCATAAAAATCAATACAACGGTCAATCTATAATACAGACTCCTTTGTTTTCAATCACAGTCAGTGCTTTGTTTGACTGATACACAATATAGTAGTCTTCTACTAAAAGGAGGTTAGTTGATACAGAGAAAGAAAATATTTGAACTGCTGAAAGAAATTAACTTACTGTCAGCTAAACAGAAAATGCTTCAGTTTGACCACCAAGCTGACATCACAACCCATCTAAACTCATCTATTTCTTATTTCTCTATAAGGATGCTTGCCAACAGTTATCCAAATGTGTGATTCAAATTGCTCATACCGGCCAGGCAAGGTGGCTCATGCCTGTAATCCCAACACTTTGGAAGGCCAAGGCGTGTGGATCACTTGAGCCCTGGAGTTCGAAACCAGCCTGGGCGATATGGCGATATGGCAAAACCTTGTCTCTACTAAAAACACAAAAATTAGCCAGGCGTGGTAGTGTGTGCCTGTAATCCCAGCACTCAGGAGGCTGAGTCATGAGAATCGCTTGAACCTGGAGACTGATGTTGCAGTGAGCCAAGACTCCACCCAGGGCAACAGAGCAAGACTCTGTCTCAAAAAAAAAAAAAAAAAAAAAAAAAAAAATTGCTAATACCTAGCAAAAGTGTGTTTGGAAAACTCACTTGACAAGGAATAATCTGGTCTACTTCCTAAACTGAATTGAGTGAACAAGAAAGAAAATGATGGCCTGCATTACATTTTTTTTCAATCTCTAGCATTTAAGACTAATTCCAAAAAAGGTTCTCTATTTTTTTTTTAAGTGAAAGTAAGTTTACTAAGAAAACAGGTCAGGCATGGTAGTTCATGCCTGTAATCCCAGCACTTTGGGAGGCAGAGGAGGGTAGATCACCTGAGGTCAGGAGTTCAAGACCAGCCTGGCCAACATGGTGAAACCCTGTGTCTACTAAAAATACAAAATTAGCCAGGCGTAGTGGCACATGCCTTTAATCCCAGCTACTTGGGAGGCTGAGGCAGGAGAATTGGTTGAACCCGGGAGGCAGAGGTTGCAGTGAGTCGAGATCGCACCACTGCACTCCAGCCTCAGCAAAAAGAATGAAATTCCATTTAAAAAATAAATAAATAAAAGAATAAAAGAATGGCTACTCCACAGGCAAAGCAGCTGTTCTCTATTTGTTAAGTTTATTAAAATGAATTAATTATTCAATTCACCTTTTTCAATATTGGTACATGAATAAAGAGCCACAAAGGAAGTAGTTAGTGAATTATAATTCTAAAAACTAAATATGATGACTCTTGGATATCAGAATTTTCTACAGTCTCATGTGTAAACAGTTTTATTACAAAACACAATAAAAAACTAATTATTGCTAAAATCTAAAGGAGTTGAGGCTGAAATAACAGAATTAAAAGTGATAACTAGGGGCAAAAGAGAAGGTATCAAATTTCCAGGCTCCAATTTAAGTAACTTGTTACTTTTAAATGCACTTTTTTAAATGTCTACTTTAAATTTAAAATATAGTTACTCTTATGATCTTTGTATGTTAAAAGCTATACCCATAGTTCAATAAAAATTAAGAAACAATTCTATTTATGGCACTTTTTTTTTTTTTGGGACTATGCCTACTTTTGTCTATATTCTTTCATGCCTACCTTCTGGAGGTATTTGTGGTGGCAATCCTGAGTCTACAGTTTAAAAACCAAACCAAGGAAGACTTACAAGATCTTTCACCATCTAACCTCAACTTTTCCCAGTCTTATCTCCTGCCGCTCTTTCCTTCCCTTGCCCCACTTCCTTCTCCCTTCTCCAAATTATGCTGTCATCATTCATGCCCTAGTACCAAATCAAATTCGAAGTTCTCTGAGGCAAGGCATGGTGGCTCACACCTGTAATCCCAGCACTTTGGGAGGCCGAGCGGACAGCTGGGCGGATCACTTCAGGCCAGGAGTTCGAGACCAGTCTGGCCAACATAGCAAAACCCTGTCTCTACTAAAAATACAAAAAATTAGCCGGGTGTGATGGTACACGCCTGTAATCCCAGCTACTTGAGAGGCTGAGGCAAGAAAATTGCTTGAACCTGGGAAGTGGAGGTTGCAGTGATCCGAGACTCTGTCTCAAAAAAAAAAAAGTTATCTATGTGATGGCCTTTCGCAATTCGATCTTTATATAATCTTTTCTCTCTACCTGAAAACTCTTCCTTTCTTTTCATTGCCTGACAAACTCCTACTCATCTTTCAAACTCATGTTTGCAACACTTGCCTTCCTCCAGTCTCTTCCATTCTCCCACATTCTTTCTTCTAATACCTGCATCATAATTCTTTAATATATTATAATATTTGCTTACATATGTGTCTGTATCATCAAACTAATAGTTCAAGAACAGCGGACATCTGTCTATTATCTCTGAACACCTGAAATCCAGTATCAAAGTCTTCTACTGAAGACTTTGCCACACTAAAGTTAACATTCCAACTCCACAACTTCCTGTCTACATGAGCTTAGGCAAGCTAATTTCTCTAAACCTCAGTTTCATCACACTTAAAATGAGATATGAGTAATTAATTCATTACTTGGATTGTTTTCATAATTAAGCATAAGTTTTTAAATCACCATCGTAATAACTGATTCCAGCAAGAATCAAAGAGTGCTCAAACCATTAGGTGAAAGTTTGTGGAAGAACAGGACATTTCACAGTTTCAAACTAACATATTATTTGTTATTGGCCAATGGAAAAAGATAACTTTATAACAGACAACACCTTAACCAAGTAATTAAACAAATACCACCAATAAGGGGACAAACGGGTACGAAGTGCCCCGGTGTGATGCACTGAGAAAGTCTCATCATCTATGAAGAATTCCTTCTAAAAATTGTTTAGCCTGAATCTAATCATAAGGAAACTACTAGATGAATCTGAATTAATCAAACAAATGGCCCAGGCTCTTCCATATGTTGTTAAAAAAGACACTCCTCTCCCCGCTTAAACAGTACTGAGAAACTGTCCAGATCAAAGAAACCCAAATGGTAACTAAATGGAATGAGTGATCCTTGACTGGATCTCAAATGTTAAAATGGTTTATCTTTTTTAAAAAAAGTACCAGCCTGGGCAACATAGCGAAACTGTCCCTACAAAAAATACAAAAATTAGCTAGCCATGATGGCCTGTGCCTGTAGTCCTAGCTACTGGAAAGGCTAAGCTAGGAGGATCACTTGAACCCGAGAGGTGGAGATTGCAGTGAGCCCCGTTCACGCCTCTGCACTCCAGCCTGGGTAACACAGCAAGACTTTGTCCTGAAAAAAAAAAAAAAAAAATTAGCCAAGAGTCCTAGCTATTAAGGAGGCTGAGGTGGGAGGATCGATCTCTTGGGCCCAAGAAGTTGACACTGCAGTGGGCCGTGATCATACCACCGCACTCCAGGTTTGGAGACAGAGCAACCCTGTCTTACAAAAAAAAAAAGAAAAGAAAAAAAAGAGAGAACATTATTGGGATAACTACAGAAGTCTAAATACAAGGCTGTATCCTGGATTACAGTATTACACAAAAGTCACAGTTTCTGCATGCTATAACCATTATTATAATTGCTGCAGGCTAGAAAAATGGCATTGTTTTTAGAAGATACATGCTGATGTATTTAGGAGTTAAGAGTCCCGACTTCTGCAGCTAACTCTCATACAGTTCAGCAAAATATATAAATTAACAGAAAGAAAGCAAATGCAACTAAGTATTAGCAACTGGTGAATCTAGGTAGAGTATATGGGATGTCACTCTAACATTCTCGCAACTTTTCCTCATAAGAACTTTTCAAATATAAAACATTGAGAAAATTTAAATAAAAAATATTAAATGAGGATGCAAGTAAAGTGCTTAGAACAGTAACACAATAGGTTGCTATAATTGCTAATACTGTTATTATCTTCCAAAACAGATTAAGTGACAGATCTAAGAAAATGTGACATTGAAATCACTAGAATTAACTCTATCAGAAACAGGAAAAAAAGCATTCTCATAAAATTGGACTGTGCTATAATAAATCCAACACCATAAAAAAAATACCATTACAAAACCCCTCATCGTGTAGTTTTACACGAATCCACTTTAAGGTCGTCTTTAAACAAGTACTTAGTGAGCGCCTATTAGGTGCCAGTCTCTGTTCTAGGCTCCGAGGATAAAAACATTTACTTTCAAAATACTTACATCCTAGTAAACTAAGACAATAAATGTCATAAATACAATGGCGTTTAAAACAAAGTAGGAAGAACAGGGAGTGGGGAAGGGCTGCAAAAGGGTGATCATGGAAAACCTCACTGAGGTGTCGAGAGCAAAGTTTGGAGCCTCCAGAGCGTTGGGAGCCGGCCAGGTAAGGTCAAGGCACAGTGAAGAGATCAGTGTGGCTGGATGAAGTAAGCCAAGAGGAGGGAGTTGAAGATGGTACTGCAGATGGAAAGGGGTAACAGGCAGTCCAGAAACCAAATATACCATCCTAAGAGCTTTAGCTTAGGAGAAGCCCAAAGGAGAGGCACAATCAGCGGTAACCTCCACAGTGGGTTCACTTTAACATCCTCCCAACTCTCCTTCTTCCTAGCGCCGCCCTCCCCCAACCAAGCCTCTACCTCGGCCAGATCACCTTCCAGTGAACCTGACACATTATCATTTCTTCATGAATATTGTGGGTGTGTGCTCGGATGGGGACAGCTCTGGCATGGTACATCTTTTCTCTCACGATTCCCCAGTCTGCTCAGAGATAACCCAAACCGCCCTCAGGGACGCACACACAACAGAGAGGTCACACTCGACACGCAAAAGCACGCCTCCCCACAGCGGCGTTCCACACACCCTCCAGCAACGCGCTGGGCGGTGCCAGCCGCCTCGAAGCGAGGCTCCCGGGTCGACCGAGCCACCCCCCACTCACCCTCAGGTTCCCTTTAGTTCGCTGCTTGTTCTTCCCGCCCATGGTCGCGGTTGCACCTGTATTCTGAGCTCTCAGACCCCAGTTGACTCGTCCGGGACACAACTTCCGGCCTCTGGCGCCGGAAGAGGACTCCCTGTAATAACTTCCCCCGGGCCCTTTCCCACCACCCACTCTGTCCATTTGCTGCCCCACTTCCGCTCCCGCCTCCCGCTGTGTCCCTGACCATCCGCCGCCGGACACGTCACAGTTAAAGCCACGCCTGTCTGAGTGATGTCATTCCTGGCCAATAGCAAGCCAAGCATTGGACCCGTGGCGCCAATTCCTGTCTTCCCCACTTTCAGAGGCTAGGTTTGTTCCTTGCTTAGCGGGTAGGAAACTAGCATGAATTACCAGAGGGGCGGTTCACATAAGGGTAGCAATAGAATGTCATGGTAGAGGCTGTGGGAAGATGGGAATGTGTTAGACTTCCAACATGATGCAATCATCAGTATCACCTGGGCGTTTGTTAGACTAGGCCAGCTCGGGCCCCTCGGAACTCCTGAATCAGACCCTGAATTTTGACGGTATTCCCAAGTCTTGTTAAAATTTGATTACTGCTCTAGGCAATATTCTCTGTAAATCTACCCCCCCGTCCCCTTTTATTCATATTGAAACTGTTACGTGCAGTTTAAAAGAGTATAATGTGGAAATCTCTATTAAAATTTGAAATGTACGAATCCTGTAACCTAGAGATTGTGCGACTCAGAATCGCACTAGAGAAACAAGTAAATGTGTGCTGATTATTGTTTCTTGTCCACGCAGTCACCCTTTTATACTCACTCCATGTTACTGGGGCGCTTCTGCTAGACTTCACCAACAGGGCGAACTAGAGGGAAACAAAGGCAAGAGGAAGAAGGGACTTGCTCCATTCTGTGAGCGTCATGCCAGCAGCAGCTGCCTTTTACCGTGGCAGGAGCAATTGCTTTAGCCAGCAGGTGGTTTTAATCTCCATCCTTTTTCCAACAATCACAAATCAGCCTTATTGCACCCCTTACCGATCACAGCAGCAGTCAGTGCTCTCCTCGGAGATCTGAATTCTACCTTCATGGAGCCCCTCCCTTGAGCTCCTGAGATAGCCAATGTTTGAGCCACCTCCTCAGGAGTTTGAGCCCCAACACCGTGGGATCCCTTCTTTGAGCTCCAGAGATCCAGCAACAGCCAGCCATTACCCTCTCTACATTCTTCATAGGCCTGAACTAAGGTGTTCAGGACCCTCCTCCAAGCTTTTAGGTTCTGATGACTCCAACCACTTCTTTTGTTCATCCTTTCCTAGCTCTAAGAATGGTAGCTGCTACCTCCAGTGATTACCTGTTACCTTTTATAATTCCTTTTGACCAATTTCCCATATTAAAATACTTCTTAATAACTAATGTGATTTCTGTTTTCCCGACTGGACCCTAATTTTAAAATGCACACAAAAGTCGGGTGTAGTGGCTCACGTCTGTAATCCTAGCACTTTGGGAGGCCGAGGCAGGTGGATCGCCTGATGTCAGGTGTTCGAGACCAGCCTGGCCAACATGGCAAAACCCCGTCTCTACTAAAAATACAAAAATTAGCTGGGCCTGATGGCAGGCTCCTGTAATCCCAGCTACTTGGGAGGCTGAGGCACAAGAATCTCTCGAACCCGGGAGGTGAATGTTGCAGTGAGCTGAGATCGTGCCACTGCACTCCAGCCTGGGTGACAGAGCAGACTCTGTCTCAAAAAAAAAAAAAAGTCACACACAGAGATGGATGTTCACAAAAACTTTATAATAGGAAGATAATTGTAAGCAACCTATGCTTATATATTGGAGAATGGCTAAATAAATTATATGTATTCAATAGGCTATTAGGCAGCATTTAAGAAGAATAAGGTTTATCTGTACATATATAGGAAGAATTATAAAACACATTCTTAAGTAAAAAGCAAATACCAAGTAATACATACAGTATGATATCATTTGTGTTTTTAAAACCCACAACACAATAATATATATATATTTATGCATATATATAATATAAATACAGAGAATAGGCCGGGTGTGGTGGCTCACACCTGTAATCCCAGCACTTAGGGAGGCTGAGGTGGGTGGATTACATCAGGAGTTCAAGACCAGCCGGGCCAACATGGTGAAAACCTGTCACCACTAAAATACAAAAATTAGCTGGGCATAGTGGCAAGCGGCTCTAATTCCAGCTACTAGGGAGGCTGAGGCAGGAGAATTGCTTGAACCCAGGAGATGGAGGTTACAGTGAGCCAAGATCGCGCCTCTGCACTTCAGCCTGGGCAACAAAGTGAGACTCCATCTCAAATAATAATAATAATAATAATAATAATAATAATATAGAGAATAAAGATCTTCAAGAAAACATACCAGTGTGATCATTGTAGTTAATTTTTGTGGGAAAAAGTGGCAAGAAAAGAGATCAGGGTTATGAGTTACAGTCAAAAGAAATTAAACCTTATCTGTAAGATTTTATTTTATACAAGGACAACATATTCCTGTATTAATTATGTAATTAAAAATCAACTCAGGCTGGGCAAGATGACTGATGCCTATAATCCCAGCACTTTGGGAGGCCAAGGTGGGTGGATCACCTGAGGTCAAGAGTTCAAGACCAGCCTGGCCAACATGGTGAAAGCCGGTCTCTACCAAAAATACAAAAACTAGCTAGGCACGGTGGTGTGCACCTGTAATCCCAGCTACTTGGGAGGCTGAGGCAGGAGAATCACCTGAACCCAAGAGGCAGAGGTTGTACTGAGCTGAGGTGACACCACTGCATTCCAGCCTGAGCAACAGAGCAAGACACTGTCTCAAAAGAAAAAAAGAAAAAAGAAATGTCAATACTTTTAAGGCTAAGATTAGAAACTCTTCAGAAATCAGGTTGGGAGTTAAAAAAAAAAAACAAGATTTGAAACTCTCCCTTCTTCATTCATGATTATTAATATTATAAATTATTGTTTTCACAGATTAAGAGTTATACAACGGAATTATAGCCTTTTTTCCCTAAGTAAATATTGGGCATGACTTACAGATGCCCAATGTTAGAATAATCTTATCCATCCAGACAAGTTTCTGAGGAGGAAAATCAGACATCAAGCACTTAAAAATATATTTCCACATTCTATTTTATTTATTTATTGACCCTCCATACCCAAGTACATTTGAAAAACATCACCATATCCTGTGGCTTTAAAAAATGGCACAGTTGGCTGAAATTCACATGACCTCCTGAGTCTAATCATATCAAATGTTTTTTTCTAAAATTGAAAATTTTCTTTGCTCTTCTATCAAGAGTGCCACCAAAAAGAATGTCTTCTTGATGGTGAATTAAAATTTTCTTCCAGGTTATTCGTCTGAGTTGGAAAATAATTTTTTTTTTTTTTTTTTTTTTTTTTTTTTTTGAGATGGAGTCTTGCTCTGTCACCCAGGCTGCAGTGCAGTGGCAAGCTCCGCCTCCCGGGTTCACGCCGTTCTCCTGCCTCAGCCTCCCAAGTAGCTGGGACTACAGGCGCCCGCCACTACACCCGGCTGATTTTTTGTATTTTTAGTAGAGACGGGGTTTCACCGTATTAGCCAGGATGGTCTCGATCTCTTGACCTCATGATCCGCCCACCTCGGCCTCCCACAGTGCTGGGAATTATAGGCATGAGCCACCGCACCCAGAGGAAAATAAATTTTCAGAGTAGACATTTTAAAAGTAAGATGTGTTCAGAAATATTAAAAGTAGTTTGATTTTTAACCCACCAATGCTAATAAAATAGAAATCTATTTTTATTTCATACAAACACATTTTATTGCCCAATATTATCCAGTTCATATCTCATTCCAGACTCATTTGTTTTGTCCTCATTTCCCTCAAAAGTTTGGAAGAGTGGAAATGGCTGAACTTCTTAATCCATCAGTTTCAGGAAAGGAGACCCCAGATTTGTGATGGTTGGGTTGTCACTCTCAACGGGACTTTAACCACAAAACTTCTGTGAAAGTCCCTTTTTATGGGATTCAAAACATAAGCTAAGATGATGAGTCATATTTTGGAATCAAACTATATCTCAGAAACCATCTAGTAGCTTTAGAAATCAATGTAACATTTATCAAACACTTTCCAAGCTCTTGACCTATTAAGAGCCTATGTCTAGAAACAGCTAAGCAACTGGCGTAAGCTCCACAATAACAGTCCTAGAACCAAAAGGCACTGACTCTCAGTCCATTGTTGCCATTACAATGGAAAAATCACTTTTGGCTCCGTGGCCTGAACGTATAATCACTTGCTTTCCCATCTATTACAACCTCAGTTTGTACTAAACAGGCTGCATAGTACAGAAAAAGGAAAGAAAATTAAAAAGCAAACCTAATCCACAGAATTGTTCACATGTGCTCTGTAAGCCTTCCACACAAATGACACCAGGTTTCCCACCATGCTACACCGAGATAGGAAAAGCTCCTTTGCTAGTTTCACAATGTTCTTTCTTTTATGTTGGCTAGAGCTCCACAGCCTGGTGAGAATGGGATCTGGGTGTTGTGCTGTACTTTCTTGGGAGATGGAAGTTGTGGGATCCCTGCTGATATATTCAGAGGCATGTTCTGTAACCCATCCTCTAGCATTCAGTGTACAGACTTCACCACAACAATCACTCTGCAAGTGCACACTCAAATCTGTGTTCAGTAGGGTCTGCTGGGATTGTTTTAAGGACTTTGACCTGATAAGAACATATTGCTTTCCTAGGTCCTTCAAAAAACACACACAAGTCATTTTTATATGCCCAAAAATATAGATAGGACTGGGCAGAGAATTTCTGTAACACACTTGACAGTAATTTCAGGTAGATCTTCATGATATTTAAAAGGGAATGCAGAAGTCAGAGAAAGTGTTACCTGAAAATATAGCAGAGTACTCAATAATTTTTCCTCTACACATAATAGATTTTCTTTTTTTCTAAAAACTGCAAAATAAAGTACCATAGCTATATGTGACATCTCCTGGTTTATAGTCACAGGAAACTTTTGAAGATCTCAGCTCCATGGTCCCCTTTTCAATACAATCTTTCACTTCTTCTGTAGCCACCTTGTCATTCACAGTGAACTTTTTCTAACCGGCAAACATACTAGCCAGCAGTTCTAACTCAGACAATCTCAGTCATTCTGTGATAATTCACAGGTTCATTCGTTCCTTCCCTCCCTCCCTTCCTTCCTTCCTTCCTTCCTTCCTTCCTTCCTTCCTTCCTTCCTTCCTTCCTTCCTTCCTTCCTTCCCTCCCTCCCTTACTCCCCCCTTCCTTCCTTCTTCTCTCTTTTTTTTTTTAAAGACAGTTTCACTCTTTTGCCCAGGCTGGAGTGAAGTGGGGTGATCTCAGCTCACTCCAACCACCCCCACCCCCAGCACAGGTTGAAGTGATTCTTCTGCCTCAGCCTCCTGTGTAGCTGGGATTACAGGAGCAAGCCACCATGCCTGGCTAATTTTTGTATTTTCAGTAGAGACAGGGTTCCGCAATGTTGGCCAGGCTGGTCTCGAACTCCTGGTCTCAGGTGATCCACTTGCCTCGGCCTCCCAAAGTGCTACGATTACAGGTGTGAGCCACTATGCCCAGCTATAATTCACAAGTTTCTAGAGAGGCAAGGGCAAGAGAATTTATACCCACAAACTTGGGAGAACCCAATGGGATAGAAATTCAGCCACTTCCAGCCATATGGCTACTTCCAGCCTGGGAAACACAGCACGGTGGCAGGCATGGTGGCACATGCCTGTGGTCCCAGCTACTCAGGGAGGCTGAGGCACGAGGATCATTTGAGCCCGGGAGGTCATGGCTGCAGTGAACCATGATCATACCACTGCACTCCCACTTGGGCAACAGAGTGAGACCCTGTATCAGAAAAAAAAAAAAAAAAAAAACAAAGAAATGTGGCAACTAGAGAAAATGTATCTGATTACCAAAATTAATCACAGATAGGATTTCCCCTTTATTCTACTTTCAGATATACTTTACCAAGATAAGAAATATAGTGAAATCCAGTGACAGTCATAAAAAATGCTGATAAAACTCAGCATTAATTAGTCTTTATTAAACTTGGTGGTACTTTACCTTCAACTGTTATTAAGATGTATTTTTTTGGGGGGGACGAATACTTTTTAATGACTTTTTTTAATGGCTTTAAAGTTTTTCTTTCTTTCTTTCTTTTTTTTTTTTTTTTTTTTTTTTTTTTTTTATATACTGGAGAATCACGCAATGCACAATCAGGCGCCACAAGTCTGCACTCTCCTTTGCTACTGGTCCTGTAATGGCAGAACCTTTCATTTCGCCTTTATTACTCACTATGACCCCTGCATTATCTCTGAAATAAACACACCATCTTTTCTTCGGTATGACTTTCATTGTCGAATGACTGCTGCTGGATGTACCATTTTTCTGAGCTCTGGTTTGCCTTTCTTGACTGTGGCCATCACCATGTCACCGACACCAGCAGTGGAAAGTCTGTTCAGCCATCCCTTGATCCCCTTCATGGAGATGATATTCAGGTTTTTGGCTCCTGTGTTATCAGCACAGTTGATCACAGCTCCTACTGGAAGACCCAAGGAAATCCGGAATTTCACACCAGAGGACCTACCACGTCCTCGCTTTGACATCTTGAACACTGGAAAGAAGGAAAAAAGTATTTTCAAATTTTTTAAAGCAAACTTCGTATTTAAATAGCAGCAACACTACATAGGTAGTATATGCCAGGAGAGCATTTGTTTGTCAACTGGGATCCCTAGAGAGTCAATTGAGAAAACAAGATATAATAGTTTGCTAACATTACAAAATAAATGCACAATAAGAATAATTTCAGTATATATCGGCTATAACTCACCACAATTTAACACGAGATTTGGGTGGGGACAAATATCCAAACTATATTAGAGGGATTTAAAAGAAAAGAAGATCGGCCGGGCACGGTGGCTCAAGCCTGTAATCCCAGCACTTTGGGAGGCCGAGACGGGCGGATCACGAGGTCAGGAGATCAAGACCATCCTGGCGAACACAGTGAAACCCCGTCTCTACTAAAAAATACAAAAAACTAGCCGGGCGAGGTGGCGGGTGCCTGTAGTCCCAGCTACTCAGGAGGCTGAGGCAGGAGAATGGCGTAAACCCGGGAGGCGGAGCTTGCAGTGAGCTGAGATCCGGCCACTGCACTCCAGCCTGGGCAACAGAGCGAGACTCCGTCTCAAAAAAAAAAAAAAAAAAAAAAAAAAAGAACCATAATAGTACTAGAAGAATATATAGGTGGATTTCCAGTTCAAAATAGCATCTACTAGCAGCCTCTCCCAAATTCACACACACACACAAACACACACACACACAAATTGATGAAAACATTGAAGAAGACAGAAACAGCATGACTAAAACTAAAACTGATGAAAAACAGATTTTCAGAATCTAGAAGGAAACTGTAATACTGAGTCTGGACTCAGGAAGTCAAGAAGGCAGGAAGGAGATACAGGTACATGTATATATATTTCCCTACCACATAAAACTGTGTCCTTTCTTGCTGGTCTAACCCCTACTCCCATCTGCCCTACAAAGCCCTTCCTTCCCACATATTCTTTGGAATTGTAGCTCCGTGATTAGCCAGTATTCACCCTCAACACTTGTTCACAGGTTGGCTAATGACAGTGCTTCCACAGCAGCATCTCATGAGTGCTGTTTATCATTTAAAATCCCACCTACCTCAGGGGTCTGCAGATAAGAATAGGATCCTCTTTGCTTCTACTTTCCTTAAAACAATAAATCATTCTTTTCAGGCTGCTGTCAACAGAAGACACCTTCTGACATCTGTCCTCTTACCAGCCTCCTGGTCATACCCTTTTAGTCTCTAAACACTTAACACTTGGCTCTCCACCCTCATTCCAAACATCATCCTGGATGGTCTTTTTAAAGTCCTGATTAGGTTCATGTGGCATATCTGTCCACTGCTTGGCCTCTCAGTTATAAAAATCTTCATCTCTCATATCCTTTTCCTCTATTCAACTTCATCTGCCACTCCACAGTCACATCCTGATATTACTACTTACATTTTCCCAATTTCACCCCACTCTTGGGTCACGATCCCCTCTTGCCAGATTCCTCATTTAACTGTTTCCACCTAGACATTCTTCAAGGAAATCTTGACCTTGCATTGGCCCTTATATTTTCTCCCTAACACTAAGGACTCTTTTCTCTTTACTCCCTTCATTGTTGACTTTAGATTTCATGATCTTTTGTATCAGTCACTCTCTTGCCAATACCACAAAGTCTCTTGTACATCTGCTCCTTCAGCCTATTCATCTGGAGAAACCAAACACTACACAAAGCCAATTATTTGTTTTCAGCTTTTTTTTTTTTTTTTTTTCCAGAGAAAAGGTGAACACTGCCTGGAAAACTAACAATGTAGTCAACAGAAGCTTTAGACCACTAAGAATTAATGATCCCATGCCTTAGTTGTGTCTTCATTACAGCCCAACAAATGTACCACACTTCTGTAATTTTCTAGGACTCCCAGTAATTATTTGAACACTTCTTCAAAACTCTGACCATTCTATCTTCCTCCTTGACTTCAACAGATGAGTTTTTCTCCAATTTCACAGGACAAGATAATCAGATAATCCTTATCTTTCCAACAGCAAACATATAAATTGGACTGATGATTATTATACACCGTTTAACTTAAATGGTTGTTAAAATAGTAAAATTCTCTGATACCCCTGAAATGTTCTTTCATTGCCCTTGCCATTTCCCTAGGACTTCTCTGACCTTCCCTTGATTCCTGGCTAAAGTGTTAATTGTTGATTTATCAGTCTTCCAAAACCCCATTCCAGCCCTAGACATGTGGCTAGTCCAGTGGATGGTGATCAGGTCATGTTGGTTGTTAACTGCGTTGAGTATCATCCCTTCCCATGAACTTTCCTTGCATCTTCAACTATGGTCCTCCATAATTCTGCTAAAAAAAGAAGTATTAAAAGACTGGAGTGGTGGTGGGGTGGGGGGGAATGAATGCACAAGGCTAGTCATTGCTGCACCATTTCTTTTCTTTTTCTTCCTTTTTTTTTTTTTTTTTTTTTGACAAGGAGTCTCGCTCTGTCACCCGGGCTTCAGTTCAGTGGTGTGATCTCAGCTCCCTGCAACCTCCGCCTTCCGGGTTCAAGCGATTCTCCTGCCTCAGCCTCCTGAGTAGCTGGGATTACAGGCGCCTGCCACCACACCTGGCTAATTTTTTGTATTTTTAGTAGAGGCAGGGTTTCACCATGTTGGCCAGGCTGGTCTCGAACTCCTGACCTCAGGTGATCCACCCACCTTGGCCTCCCAAAGTGGTGCGATTACAGGCGTGAGCCACCACACCCGGCCTAATTTTTTTATTTTTTAAATTTTAATTAATTTATTATTATTATTATTATTATTATTATTATTTGAGATGCAGTCTAGTTCTGTTGCCCAGGCTGGAGTGCAGCCGCGCGATCTCGGCTCACGGCTCCGCCTCCCGGATTCACACCATTCTCCTGCCTCAGCCTCCGGAGTAGCTGGGATTACAGGCGTGAGCCACCACGCCCGGCCCTAATTTTTTTTTTTTTTTCTTTTTAAAGAAAACCCCACATATACATACATGCAAAAATAGGATACTAGAAAATAAAATGTAAAACCAAAATTTAATATTGTCTTTTTGGACATGGGATTGTGGGTGACTTTAAAATCCAGCTATTTCTACTCTTCCTATGATATATGTGTAATCATATATGTAATACATATGTTTAATACGTTATATATAACATATAAATAATATATATAATTTGTTGGCGGGAGGAACGAGGGAGAGCAGGTTTTCAAAATGCGAAAAACCAAATGCCCCAGTGGGGAAAAAAGCCTCGATTTCCGTAATTCCCTGGTTAAAATCGAGGAACACCTTGGACTTCAAAGGCACTACCTGGGTCCCAGGGTGCACCATTCCTCTAATCCCCCAGTTGCAGCAACATCTGGGAAGTCCCGAGAATGGGAATCGATGCCTCTTTTTCCGAAGATAGTAAGCGTCAACAACAAAAAATAAACAAGAAGTCCAACTCGGCCCCAAAGCAGCATCTGGCTGGCCTGCGAGATGCCCACTCAGCAGGCGAGTCCGCAGCTTAGGACTCAAGCCGGTGTTCGGAAGCTATAGCCGAGAGCCGAAAGGCAGCGCTCGCAGCTGCAGTGACCCGCCCCGCCCATAAGTCCTGGTGCTCACAGCATCCCGGAAACCCACGCCAAGTGCTTCCGGGCCACGTCGGCCCAGGAAGGCGCACGCTCGAAGTATGGCGAGCTTCACTCCGCGCTCTGAGGCTGCCTGTGGGGCCTGCGAGTGCTCGGTAGTTGCCGGGGTCACAAGAGAAAGCCTAGCTGTCGATGACAGCCCCAGAGCGCCTGGGAGCCTTGCGATACCCGGGTGTCTGTAGGCAGCCAGCAGACACTTCCACGCTGATCTGGAATCTTCCCTCGCCCGACTCTGCCCCTCACAGGGATGGCAAAGAACTTTACGACCTACATCCCTTCCCCGATCTGATGGCTTCAGATGGGTAGACTGTGTTTAAGTGGAATGCTTGTGGTGCCCCTTTGCTGAGTTTTTATGGACTCAGTTTTCTCAAGTAGTTCTAATAATCGCTGGGGGTAGGGGGGTGGGGCGGGAACGTAATTTCTGCGTCTGCCCTTAAATACCTTTAAACCTTGGCTGCATTGTCGCTTTTATGGAATTTCACCAATGGTCTGTTATTTTTTAGTTTCCCTGATACACATCTTTCTTAATAACAAAATAAATAGCACTTTGGAAGGCCAAGGCGGACGGATTACCTGAGGTCCGGAGTTCAAGACCAGCCTGGCTAACATGGTGAAACCCCCATCTCTACTAAAAATACAAAAAATTAGTCGGGTGCAGTGGCGCGCGCCTGTAATCCCATCTACTGGGGAGGCTGAGGCAGAATTGCTTGAACCTGGGAGGCAGAGGTTGCGGTGAGCCGAGATCACGCCACTGCACTCACACTCCAGCCTGGGCTACAGAGCGAGACTTCGTCGTCAAACAAACAAAAACAAAATAAAACAAAGCATGTGGCCAATATTCCCTGCCAGTACTTGTTTTCTTTAGAAAATGTAACTTTTAAACATAATTTGACTTGAAACCGTTTCTTTTCAGGATTTATCATTTTTTATAGGTGATTCCAGTTCAAAATAGTTATTACATTAATATGTTGATAAATCATCATTGCTGAACAAATTTTTTTATGTGCAATCATACAGAACATTTTATATTTAAGGATGTTTATATATCAAGTATATAATCATTGGTAGAAACTGGGCAGGGCGCAGTGGCTCACGCCTGTAATTCCAGCACTTTGAGAGGCTGAGGCAGGTGGATCATCTGAGGTCGAGAGTTCAAGACCAGCATGGCCAACATAGTCAATCCCCGTCTCTACTAAAAATCCAAAAAGTAGCGAGCGTGGTAGCACGCACCTGTAATCTCGGCTACTTGGGAGAATGACGTGGGAGAATCACTTGAACCCCAGGCGGCGGAGGTTGCAGTAAGCCAGGATTGCACTACTGCACTCCAGCCCGGGTGACAGATCCAGACAGAGTTTGTCTCCAGAAAAAAAAAAAAAAAAAAAAAAAGAAACCTAAGAAAGCTATATTGCTTATACTCTTAACATTTCTAACATTTCACTACATTTATCCATTCTCAAAGGAACTTTCTCATCACAAGATTGGAAAATCTGTACTTCCCTGGCTTAGTATGACTTAATCATAAACGTCTAAATTTGACTGATGTCCCAGGAAAGAAAATTTGTAAAACTACTCTGTTGCATTCTATGTGTTTATGTGACATTTGAGATCTGCATATTATGCATAGCAATCTGGTTTTTAATATAATGTACAGAGACTGAAAAAGTTTTAGCGGTTTAGCTGCCACTTTAGCTGCTTAAAGTAATATATGCATCATCTGCCCCCTTTGGTGGTAGAAATGTCAGATTCCATTCTCTGTAGGGTATTTCATACAAATCTGTTAGTCACTGGAGGAATCAGAAACTAGACACACAACTGGTCCATCTGGCTGTCTGGTGGCAGCAGAGGAACTGGGATTTCCAGGGCAACTGACAGGGCAATAGGAATGGGCAGCAGGGAGGAAATCTGGGGAGGTACATAAGGTTTAGGTCCAATAGAAGCACTGTGCTTTAAATACCATTCTGACCCTCATTTATGTTTAATAACCTTTATATTTAAGATTTATCCACATAGCCTTCTTCCATTTTATTCCTTCAGATTTCTACATTGTATTACATAATATATGCTATCTTTCAGTTACTGATTCATTTTGTGATAAGCATAGTTTGCCTCCAACTTTTTACTAACTTAATGCATTGTTTCTCACCCCAACTCTATTCCTCAACCAAGTCTGACTGGTCAAGAAATATCCAACACCTGGTATCAACCTGCGTGCTAGCAAATTAATAAATAATAAATGCTTTTGGAACCAATTTATGGAGGTCCTCAAAAACTGGGTGGTGTGTTTAATGGTAGGTCAAAATTTGGCAAAAAGAAATATACAGAAAGCCATTTCCAGAACAAAAAAATGTCAGAATACAATTTGCCAAACAAATCTTCTAAATTACTAATTTGATGAATTGTTGACGCTTGTTAAAAAAGTTTAAGCCCTACTCGTGCCTCAGCCTTGTCTGAGGCAAGCCCAGGAACAGGGGCAGAGCGTGAGTATACAAAACGAGACGAACTGCAAACTCCACTTCAGAAAAACTTCACCTATTTATGTATCAAAAGGCTGGCGTAAATGCAAAACGAAAGCTCTGAAAAACTCTATTTGACAAACTAGCTTTCAACTGCCAGTAAAAAGCCTAGAAATTGGCTGGGCGTGGTGGCTCACGCCTGTAATCCCAGCACATTGGGAGGCCAAGGCGGGCGATCACCTGAGGTCAGGAGTTCGAGACCAGCCTGGCCAACATGGTGAAACCCCGTCTCTACTAAAAACACAAAAATTAGCCAGGCATAGTGGCAGGCCCCTGTAATCTCAGCTACTCGGGAGGCCGAGGCAGGAGAATCGCTTGAACTTGGGAGGCGGAGGTTGCAGTGAGCCGAGATCACACCATTGCACTCCAGCCTGGGTGACAGAGCAAGACTCTGTCTATTAAAAAAAAAAAAAAAAAGCCTAGAAATTAAACAAACCTGGTTTTATTTCATAAGACGTCTAGAGATAGGCAGCGGCTGGTGTTGGGTCAGCAGCTCAACAATGTGGCAACTGGCATCTTCGTGGTTCTCTTAGTCCTTCCTTCTGTCATAGTTCAAATAACCCCTCCAGCTCCAGCCATCACTTTGGCGTTTATAAAAGTAAGAGGGGGAGGAGGTGGCCTAGCTGCATATGTTTCTTTAATCAGGAAGCAAAAGTTTTCCCAGAATTCCCAAGGCCAAAGGTGTGTCCTGAGGCCACTGAGAGTTGTTAGTTGCAACAGAGGCTGAAAGGGGAGCAATTAGCTTTTCTGGGTTCTTTAGTGAAGGCAGGTAAGGGAGAAGGGGGTTGGGAATGGCTGGCAAATTGGAGCACCAACATCACCTTTGTGGATCATTTCTTTTTCAAAATGGGCAGCTGATAGGTGAAGAAATACCTAACAACAATTTTAAGGTTGTAATTTAAAACTCAGTTCTGCTTTCAATCATGACATTTTTAACAGATGCATTTCAGCTATACTATTTTTTCTTGTCCCCCACTCCCCAACATTCTAGAATGGAACTAAAAGAAAATTACTTAATCTTTCAAGAAAAAGTGGGAAAAAAAAATCAAAAGGCCAACAGTGACAAGATACTTTCAACTACTCTTACTGTCATTGTCCTTCTACACCAAAAAACATCTGGAAAACATCCCCACATCCTTTGGCATTTAAGAACTGATAGAGCTGACCAAAGTCCATGTGGTTTCCCCTGGCTCCATTAACACTGAACACTTTTTCTTCAAAAATGGAAAATTTCCTTTGTCTTTGCATTTCATCATTTGTACCATCAAAAGGAACGTCTTCTCGATGGCGGATTAAAATTCTCTTCCAGTTTAATTTTCTGAGTCTGAAAAGAAATTTCCAAAGTAAACATTTTCAAAATGTATAGAGCACATAAAACAGAAGTTATAAAACAGACTTATCAATGCCTTTTCCTAGTAGTAGTCTACTTTTTAAAATTTTTATAACTTTTGTTTATTTAGTAGAGACAGGTCTTGCTATGTTGCTCATGCTGGTTTCAAACTCCTGGCTGCAATTGATATGCTGCCTCAGCCACCCACAGTGCTGGGATTACAGGTGTGAGTCATCACACCCCACCCAAGAAATCTACTTTTATCTCAGAGGGATTTTAATGAAATATGATTCTGGTCATAATCCCATCCCCAAACTCATTTGTTGCCCTTACTACGGCCTTGTATTAGTAGTTTAGAAATGTAGGAATTACTGAATCCCAAACTATTAATGGATCTTCTCAGAAATTCATTTAGGATATCAGTAGAGAAATGAGAAGACTAGTGGCAACTCTAGTGCTTCTAGAAAGCCCCTTACTTCATAGGGTATACAGTTTGCAGCATCACTAAGATAAGGGAAGGATCAGATCCATGAAAGTGGATGGGGTCATAGTGTCTTGGGCAGGAGCTCAATTCATTCAGCATATTTACAGAATGTCTCCTATATGCACTTGTCAGGTGAGGGGGAAAATGCTGACTACATGCGATTTCTGCCATATCTATCAACTTGAGATTGAATCCCCATAAAGATACAACCCCTGGGACATACTTATCTCCACATCTCTAATAGTCATGTGTTGCTTAACAATGGGGACACATTCTGAGAAATGTATCTTCAGGTTATTTTGTCATTGTACCACCACAATAGAGTGTACTTACACAAACCTAGATGGTACTTTTTTTGTATTTATATTTTTTCATATAGAAAAGCAAATGTCCCAGCACGATTACTGAATATCACTCTGATATTCAATAGTGGGAAGATCAAATGCCATGTATCAGGTTTGTATATGTGCTCCATTATAATCCTATGGCACCACTGTTTTATGTGTGGTCCACTGTTGAGCAAAATATTACTAGGCAGCACATGACTGTATCTTGTTTACTATTAAAATTTTTGACATGACTTCACATACATATGTGAAAGCAAACCTTGACCAGAATTCTTCACAGGCACTTTGTGGGCCTTCCACACAAACAACACCAGGTTTTCCAGGCATGCTAAACCCAGACAGGGAAAGCTCCTTTGCCCACTCTAGAATATTCTTTCTTTTGCATTTGTTGTAGATATGATGGCTGTAGATCCAGAGTCTTGTGAAGATGAGGTCAACTGACTGGACTGTGCTTCCTGTGGTGGGTGAAGATGAAGTATCTCTGCTGACATAGCCAGACGCGTGTTCTCTAACCCACTCCGTGGCATTCAGTATACAAACATCTCCATGACAATGTTTTTGCAGGAATGCAGTCAGATCTGTGTTCAGCTGAGTCTGCTGGGATCTACTCAATATTACTGATCTAACAGAAAAGATATAAGAAAACAATTGTCTTGGAACAGAAAACAAATTCAAGAGTTGCTTTTATTCTCAGATTAATTTGACCTCTAAAGTTGGCCAGAACTTCTGTAACGTACCTGACAGTAATTTCAGGCAGAACTGCTGGGTATTTAAAAGGAAGAATACAGGCCAGAGAAAACATCGCCTGATTAAAGAGAAGAAGAAAAAGTGCACTAACCAATGTTTTAAGTCTCAACATGTTTCAATCCTTCCAAAAGCAAAACTGAATTACCATTGCTTCCTCAGATACATCCAGGTTCATATTGATAGTAAAGTAAACTTTTGAAGATCGCCCCTCCATTGTCTTCTTTTCAATACAATCTTTCAGTTCTGCTACAGCCAGTTGGTCATTTACTATGAGCTCATTCTCACCAGGGAACATACTGGCTAGCAGGTCTAACTCAGCAAGCTGGGCCTCCGCCTGCTTTATCTCAATCATTTTTGGACATGTGTAAGTTTCTAAGGAGGTAAAGACAAGAGAAACAATTTACATATGCAATCTTAGAAGAAATGAATACATCAACAAGGGTACTTACTAAAATTGTATTTGATTTCTTCGTAAATTGTACAATTTAATTAGTCTCTTCCCCATTACTCTACTTTCAGATATAATATACTAAGTCCTATGCTAAGACCAGCCTGGGCAACATACTGAGACCATCTATAAAAAAACAAACACAAAAAACTTTTAATAGTAAGTAGACACCACATTCTTCTGTGTCTAGATAGTTGAGCGGACATTTTGAGCTACCATAAATGGGCAATTTCATCAAAGTAAACCAATTATGTAGTCAAAAAGCTGTATCAATAATGTAGCCAGAAGAGAGGATATGACTGGTTACACTGGAAACCTAGAATGTACAGAATAAGTCAGAGAGTTTGATTATCTGAATGGTCAGTTTCTTAAGTAAATATTGTTTATTAGTTTTTTTTGAGACAGGGTCTAGCTCTGTCACCCCAGCTGGAGTGCAGTGGCATGATCCCCACTCACTGCAACCTCAACCTCCCACGCCCAAGCAATCCTCCCACCTCAGACTTCTGAGTAGCTAGGACCACAGGTATGCACTGCCACGCCTGGCTTCATTTTTTATTTGTAGAAACAAGGTCTTGCTATGTTGCTCAGCCTGGTCTCAACCTCCTGGGCTCAAGCAATCCTCCTGTCTTGGCCTCCCCAAGTGCTAGCATTACAGGTATGAGCCACTGTGCATGGCATTTATTAGTTTTTCTTTCTTTTTTTTTTTTTTTTTTTAGACAGAGTCTTGCTCTGTCGCCCAGGCTGGAGTTTAGTGGCACGATCTCGGCTCACTGCAAGCTCCGCCTCCCGGGTTCATGCCATTCTCCTGCCTCAGCCTCCCGAGTAGCTGGGACTACAGGTGCCCGCCACCACGCCCAGCTATTTTTTTTATTTTTTTATTTTTTGTAGAGACGGGGTTTCACCATGTTAGCCAGGATGGTTGAGATCTCCTGACCTCATGATCCGCCCGCCTCTGCCTCCCCCTCCCAAAGTGCTGGAATTACAGGTGTGAGCCACCACACCCAGCCCTTTTTTTTTTTTTTTTTAAACTAAATCCTCATACATACTTAAAATCCCTGGACTTATTGGAATTCCATAGACATATTTGCTAGTCTGTTTTGGAGTTGAGAAACACAGAAAACAACTTCTTGGGTGGTTATTAGAGGAAGTGCATTTACTTTGTTTTTTGTTGGAGTGGCTCTGTTACCAGTGTTTGGATTCTATTACCAGATTGCCAAGGTGCAACTCCAGGCTCTGCCACTTACCAACTGCACGACCTTAGGCAAGTGGCTTAATTTATCTGTGCTTTAGTCTCCCCAACTCCGTAACTGGGATGAGAGGGTTGCTGTGATGATTAGATGAGAATTTGTGGAAAGTGCCTGGCAACAGAGTAAATTTTATGTGTGCTTGCTACTATTATTATTAATTTAAAAACCTTTTTTTTTTTTTGAGACAAGGTCTAGCTCTGTCACCCAGGCCAGGGTGCAGAGTTGGTTCACTACAACCTCTGCTTTCTGGGTTTTTTAGTAGAGATGGGGTTTTACCACATTGGCCAGGCTGGTCTCGAACTGCTACCCTTGTGATCCACCCGCCTTGGCCTCCCAAAGTGCTGGGATTACAGGCATGAGCCACGGTGTCGGGCCGCTTATTACTATTATTATTATTGGTCATCATTTCTTTTTTTTGTTTGTTTTTGAGACGTAGTCTTGCTCTGTCACCCAGGCCGGAGTGCAGTGGCACAATCTCGGCTCACTGCAAGCTCCGCCTCCTGGGTTCACGCCATTCTCCTGGCTCAGCCTCCCAAGTAGCTGGAACTACAGGTGCCCGCTACCATGCCCGGCTAATTTTTTGCAGTTTTGGTAGAGATGGGGTTTCACTGTGTTAGCCAGGATGGTCTCGATCTCCTTTACCTTGTGATCCATCCGTCTCGGCATCCCAAAGTGCTGGGATTACAGGCGTGAGCCACCAAGCCCGGCCTGGTCATCATTTCAACAAATGTTTCTAAAGCACTTACGTTCAAGCATTGGCACTAAGATAACAATGAATGAAAGTAATAAAACAACTCTACTGGTGGGAGGATACCATGACATCAAAAACAAATTTATATGCCCAGCCCAGGTGCGGTGGCTCACGCCTGTAATCACAGCACTTCGGGAGGATGAGATGGGCGGATTACCTGAGGTCAGGAGTTTGAGACCAGCCTGGCCAACATGATGAAACCCCATCTCTACTAAAAATACAAAAATTAGCCAGGTGTGATCGCACACGCCTGTAGTCCCAGCTACTAGGGAGGCTGAGGCAGGAGAATCACTTGAACTGAGGAGGCAGAGGTTGCAGTGAGCTAAGATCACACTACTGCACTCCAGCCTGGGCAACATGTGAGACTGTTTAAAAAAAAAACAAAAAAGAATTTTTATATCCAGTAAATAACTGCTGTGAAGAAACCTGAAGAAAACAAGGACAAGGGAAACAATAAGGCAGCAGGGGGTGAGACTGCACAAGGGGTTGTCAGGAAAGGCCTTTCTCCTAAGGTGACTGTAGGGAAGAGACTTTAAGGAACTGAAAAAGGATGCCATGTGTTTTTCTTGGCCAAGAGTGTTCGAGGGAAAGTGAACAGCATATTCAAATGCCTTGAGGTAGGAGGGTGCTAGAGCAGCTGGCCAGCGCACAGTGAGCTGGGGACAGGGGAAATGAAAGAGTTTAGTAAGGAAATGTGGGGCAGTTTATGTTGGGACTAGTAAAGCATGGCCAGAATTTTGAATTTTATCCCGACTGATACGTAAGAGCTACAAGAGAGGTTTGACTTACGAAGATCCCCACACTTGCTGCTACGGAGAAAAGTGAAAGGAAAAGTGGGGTAACCAGATAGACACCGCAATTACTAGGGAGAGAGGATGGTGGCTTGGATAGGATTATAGTGGTCAAGTTGGTAAACTTCAGGTTCTGGATACGTGGAGAGAACAGAAGCAACAGGATTTACAGATGAATTACATGAGACACGGAAGAATGACTCCAAGGTTTTAAGCTACTGAAAGTATGGATGTGCCATTTATTTGGACGGTGTGGTCATGGAGAGCTTCAGGAGAGCTTCATGGAGAGCTGAAGTAATGAAGCGCCTACTAAGACACCTGTTAAATAGAGATGTCTAGCATGCAGTTAGATATACAGTTTTGGAGTCTACGAGAGACTGAGCTACAGATATAATTTTGGAAGTCAACACTTATTGAAGCTATGTATTTGTTTAAAGTTTCCCAGGGAGTGAGCAAAGTCGGGAGAGGGTCCTATCGAATTGCAGGTAGCGAAGATGAAATGGAATAGCAAAGAAGTACGGGACGGAGGGACTCTTGAATGGATAACTACGGGAGTGATGTCACAGGTCATTTATCTGCCAAATTATTTTTGCTTAAGAGATTTCAGTCCTTCCAAAAAACCCTCAAGATAATTTTATGACTCAAGATTTCAGCGAATGCTGTAAGGAAACAGACTGCAGCCTGGCGCGGTGGCTCACGCCTGTAATCCCAGCACTTCGGGAGAAAGGGGGATTGCTTAAGCCCAATTGTTCAAGACCAGCCTGGCTAACACAGGGAGACCTCGCCTTTACTATTATTTTAAAAAAAAATAAAAAATAAAAAATAAAAAAATATATATATATATTTAAGAGAACGTAGACTGAAACTTGGTATTTCTGAGTGGAATAATATCTTTTCCTTGCAGATTTTTTTTTTGTTTTTGAAAAACAGAGCACGGTACCCCGCGACCCAAGCCACGAAGCTCTCAGGAAGAATGCCCAGCACGCAGCCGCCCTCGCACCCTGACTGCCCTCGGGGCGAGGTCCCTGGCTGGAGCGGGGCTGCTGAAGCCGGGAAGCAACGCGGAGGTCCAAACCGACCGATGGGCGCCTGCAGTGAGGGGAGGCCGGCAGCCATGCCGGGAACGTTCCCTAAGAGTTGCGCCCGGCGCTGCAGCGTGGGAAACCCCCGTGGCGCTCGCCACTGGCGCTGAGGCGAGACTAACCTTGAGTCGCGGCCCCCTCACTGCTGTAACCCGGGTCCCATGGCTGCACGAACAGCTCAATTTTCACCGGAAGGAAACCTCAAAATTCTAGTATACTGCGACCCAAAACTCACAAACCGCCTCACCTAGCGGCCTATCAGAAAAAAACAGGGCGCGCGGCGCATGCGCGCGCAGGGCCGCGGCCGGAAGCTAGAGCTGGCCTGTCGGGCGCCGGGTCCGCCAGTGTTTGTGTACGCAGCTGGAACGACTAAGGGAATGCTTTGTCCCTGCTAGGTACTTCTCAGTCGCAGAGTTTTCTTCTTCTTCTTCTCCTTTTTTTTTTTTTTTTTTTTTTTTTTTTTGAGACGGAGTCTCGCTCTGTCCCCCAAGCTGGAGTGCAGTGGCGCGATCTCGGCTCACAGCAGCCTCCACCTCCCGGGTTCGGGTTCAAGCGATTCTCCTGCCTCGGCCTCCCGAGTAGCAAGGATTACAGGCGCCCACCACCATGCTCAGATAATTTTTGTATTTTTTAGTAGAGACGGGGGTTTCACCATGTTAGCTAGGCTGGTCTCGAACTCCTGACCTCAGGCGATCCGCCACCCCTGGCCTCCCAAAGTGCTGGGATTACAGGCCTGAGCCACCGCGCCCGGCTGGTTTTTCTTCTTAATAACTCTCCATGCCAATCCCGTTGTCATTTCCCAGCGGCCACCACTGTCAGTCTATATAGTGGGCACTTTTCAGGGACAAAGAATTGGTCTATTAATGCTCCTCAAACTCCAACGTGTCCAGGAATAGTTCGGGTTTCCTGTTGAAATGCAGATCAAGATTCGGTAGGTAGGGGCGGGGGTCCAAATTTTGCATTTCTAGTATCTTCCCACACAGTGGTGATCCTCCTTGTCCCTGAATCATGGAGGAGGAGGGCAATTAGGGAGATCTGAGCCTGGATGCCTGGTGGCCTTAGCTATCTTAGGTGTTCTCCCCCATTAACCAAGCTGGGAGGAACCGTGTGAATGCATATTTATCCCTCTTAATAAAAGGGTAGTTTGAAGGAGATGCTGACAGGAGGATAATTGGAAATGTTTTTCTTCCCAATCCAACTATATGGAATACACCTTATAATATTCATTTTAGAAGTGTCATAGATACGATTTGTAAACACTGACATTTAGCAATACTAAATATCACTGCTAGCTCTCCCCCCGACCCCTGCCGCTTTTTTTTTTTAAACAAAAAGACGACAGTATGTATTGTAGGTGTTCATAAACTACATCTTCTGCATGGTGTTTCATGAGCATTTTTCAATGTCATAATTTATTTTTTCCTCCAACATTTATTATGAAAAAATTCAAGTGTAAAGCAAAGTCGAGAGAATTTTACAGTGGAGCAGATCTCAAGAGAAGGGGAAGGAAGGATTTCCCCTCTATTTAGCAGTGTCTGAAGACATTTTGGGTTGTCACAACTGGAAGGATGCTATTGGCATGGAGTAGGTAGAGCCCAGGGATGCTCCTCAACTTCCTACAATGAACAGGACATCCCCTGACAATAATAAATTTGCTGGTTCAAAATTCTGATAGTGTTGAGGTTGAAAAACACTGACCTGGAGAGTATAGAATTTTACTCTACCAGCTTTGTCACATATCTCATCAATCCATCTGTTTTCATACATTTCAAAGTAAACTGCAGACAGTAGCTTCTAAGTATCTCTAATGTACATCATTCAAATTAGTTTTTGTTTTGTTTTGTTTTTGAGACGGAGTCTCGCTCTGTCGCCCAGGCTGGAGTGCAGTGGCGCCATCCCAGCTCACTGCAACCTCTGCCTCCTGGGTTCACGCCATTCTCCTGCCTCAGCCTCCCAAGTAGCTGGGACTACAGGCGCCCGCCACCACGCCCAGCTAATTTTTTGTATTTTTAGTAGAGACAGGGTTTCACAGTGTTAGCCAAGATGGTCTCGATCTCCTGACCTCATGATCCACCCACCTCGGCCTCCCAAAGTGCTGAGATTACAGGCATGAGCCACCGCGCCCGGCCCAAATTAAGGGTTTTAAAGGTAAAAATGAAATGTATACCTTAAATACACATAAGTTTTTAAATGCATACACCTATGGAACTCAAGCCATATTAACGTATAGAACATTACCATCACCCCATAAAGTTCTTTCATGCCCTTAGTCCCTACCCAGTTCTCCCCAAAGGTAACCACTGTTCTGATTTTTTTCCCCCACCATACTTATTTTTCTTGTTCTAGAACTTCATATGGTTGGAGTCATGCAATAGATATTTTTGTGTAAGGGTTCTTTCACTCAGGGAAATATTTTCATCTGTTATCATGTGTATCAGTTTCTTTTGATTGCTCAGTAGTATTCCATCATATGAATATACCAGTTCCATTCTTGTTTTGATAGAAACCTGGGCTATCTTCAGTTTTTTGGCTATTATAAATAAAGCAGCTGCGAACATTCTTGTACAGCATTTTATTTCTCATGACTATTTCTTTTCAATAAATATTTATCGAGCACTTACTATATTCCAGGCACTTCCAGGTACTAATTATAGCCATGAACAACACAAAGATGTTGCATCTCTCAAAGACCTTATATTTGCACATTTCTGTGTATGGATGAAGAGGGCTAAACATAAAGGTAAAAATAAAAGAAAATTATGGGCCGGGCACGGTGGCTCACACCTGTAATCCCAGCACTTTGGGAGGCCAAGGCAGGCAGATCACTTGAGGTTGGGAGTTCGAGACCAGCCTGACCAACATGGAGAAACCCGGTCTCTACTAAAAATACAAAACTTAGCTGGACATGGTGGCACATGCCTGTAATCCCAACTACTGGGGAGGCTGAGGCAGGAGAATCGCTTGAACCCAGGACGCAGAGGTTGCTGTGAGCTGAGATCACGCCATTGCACTCCAGCCTGGGCAACAAGAGCAAAACTCAGTCTCAAAAAAAAAAAAAAAAAAAAAGAAAAGAAAATTATGGCCAGGCATAATAGCTCATGCCTATAATCCCAGCACTTTGGGAGACCAAGGAGGATCACTTGAGCCCAGGGTTTGAGACCAGTTTGGGCAACAGAGAGAGACCCCTGTCTCTACAAAAAATACAAAAATTAGCCAGATGTGGGGTCCTGTGCCTGTAGGCCTGTAGTCCCAGCTACTCAGGAGGCTGAGGTAGGAGAATTGCTTGAGCCTGGGAGACTGAGGCTGCAGTGAGCTGTAACTGCACTACTGCACTCCAGCCTGGGCAACAGAGTGAGACTCTGTTTCAAAAAAAAAGAAAAAGAAAATTACCAAATAGTGGATAATTGCTGGACAGAGAAGTAAAGTAAGGTGATGTGAGTGATCAGATAACTGTGTTACCTAGATTGCCCTGTAACTGGAAGGAAGTGACTTTTAAGGCATGTATAGAGGCTGGATGCGGTGACTCACACCTGGAATCCTAGTGCTTTGGGAGACTGAGGCTGGAGTATCGCTTGAGGTCAGGAGTTTGAGACCAGCCTGGGCAGCAAGCTTTTGCAGAGACATGGTGACTTCAAAAAATCAAAAAGTTAGCTGATGGGGTGGCACACACTTGCATTACCAGCTACGGGAGGCTGAGGCGTGAGGATCACTTGAGCACAGGAATTCAAGGTTACAGTGAACTATGATTGCACTTCAGTCTGGGCTACAAAGCCAGATCCTGTCTCTAAAATAAGTAAATTAAAAATAAGGTGTGAACAGAATGACAATAAGATACCAACCCCGGAAGATGAAGGGGAAGAGCCTTTCAGACAGGAAGCACGTGGTACAATGACCTTAAGGCTCTGTTTTAAAATGGGTGGGGGCAAAAAGCCTGCATTTCTGGAGCTTGGAGAATAAAGCTTTAAAAAATTATCTCATCCCACTCCTGTTCTTTCTTGCATGAGAGCTGGAGCCTATGCCCTACCACACATCCGTGGATATGCCCAGGATTTGACTTGAGCCTTGGAACTTTGCATAATAGCTGCTACTAACTTTTTGAGATAATACATTCGTGGGGGCTCAGTCCTGCCTCATCTAAATCACCAGAGACCAAACAAGGACAAGCCCAATATCTCTTGGACTTTAATGTCATAATGTTGTCAGAATAAAGTGAAAGATGAAACTAAGCTGGGTGCGGTGGCTTACACCTGTAATTCAGCACTTTGGGAGGCTGAGGCAGGTGGATCACTTGAGGCCAGGAGTTCAAGACCAGCCTGGCCAACATGCTGAAACCCCACCTCTACCAAAAACTACAAAAGTTAGCTGGGTGCGGTGGGGTGGCATGTGCCTGTAATCCCAGCCACTCAGGAGGCAGAGGCAGGAGAATGGCTTCAACCTGGAAGGTGGAGGTTGCAGTGAGCTGAGATCATGCCACTGTACTCCAGCCTGGGCAGCAGAGTGCAAGCCAGTCTCAAAACAAAAGAAAACAAACAAACAAAAAAATTTATCTCAGCAGTAAAAAGCAAGAGAGCTAGTTTTCCTCCAAATTTAACCAAATGTTACTCTGGTAGTTAGTATGCCACCATCTTAAACTCCTTTTATCTGATTAGTAACAATAGACATTTATTTTATGACCAATTGTTTTTTTTATGGTGAATTACCTGTTTACATTCTTTGACTATTTTTCTATAGATATCTGCAACCCCCCCACCCTCGCACCCTTGGTAGGGATTACTATTTTCTCTACTAAACTAAGACTCCAGGGCAGAGAGGCCTATGTTTAATTCATTTGAGGGAAGGCTTGGCACAAAGTGTACCCTTACATATTTTCTTTTTTTGAGACAGAGTTTCACTCTTGTTGCCCAGGCTGGAGTGCAATGGAGTGATCTCAGCTCACTGCAACCTCTGCTTCCAGAGTTCAAGCGACTCTCCTTCCTTGGCCTCCCGAGTAGCTGGGATTACAGGCGCTCGCCACCATGCCTGACTAATTTTTTGTATTTTTAGTAGAGACGGGACTTCACCATGTTGGCCAGGCTGGTCTCGAACTCCTGCCCTCAGGTCATCCACCCGCCTCGGCCTCCCAGTGTTGGGATTACAGGCATGAGCCACCGCGCCCGGCCTCGCACTTACAAATTTTCAAAGAATGAACAGTAAATATTGAAAATTCCCTCCTCTCCCGCAATTTATGTTTGACACTGTCTTTCAGTTCTGCTTTAAAAATTCACTCTCGCGGCCGGGCGCG